TAATTTCTGATTAGAAGTGTTCTGGAAAGGATATAATAAGAAAATTCATTAATTTTCCCCACAATTGAATTGCAATATTCTGCTTCCCCAAACTTTAAATACTTTTTAAATCAAAATTAAACCATTGGTTAAAATAATATATTAAAAAATATTTATTAAATAGATAGTTTTTTTTTTTGCATTATTAAACCTTATACATGCTTAATTTATTTAAAATAATGAAAACAACAAGAGTAGTTTTAATGATATTAATATTAATAATATCATTATTTAAGGTTCTGGAAGATGAAGTTGTGTTAAATGCAATTAACACAGCTGTGCGTAAAGCTTGTGCTGATGATGATACAACGATAGACAGAGTCAGCCAAAATAGTTCAGAGTTGAAAATACAGCAAGAAAACACAAAACGTATATTATCTGTTATGAGTGCAAATGTGAAAAACTGGGTTTACAAGTAATTTATTGTTCCTTGATTTTGTACAATAATATTTTAATCATTTTTGGTTATAGGGTCATTGGATGGTTTACATTTCGTATGATCTCATTATTTGCCACCAGTCTTTTGGTCCAACCTTGTCAAATTGATAGAGTCAGAGATGCCGAACAGAGTGGCTTGCCTGTTATTTATTTACCATTACACAAGAGCCATATGGATTATATACTATTGGGATTAGTGTTGACTGTCCATAATATTAGGCCTCCTGTGGTAGCAGCAGGGGAAAACCTTAGGGTTTTCTTTATAAGGTATTATTTTCGAAAAATGGAAACAATTTTTTTTGAAATTTTTTTTGCATTCTATCAAAATACTGTAAATATACATATGATTTTTACAGTTGTAAACAACGTTGTTATTCATATATATTGTAGCCCTGCTATAAAGTTCTATTTAATGATATATTTTATGTTATTGTTTTTAGGTACTATAGTGGTAATGTTAGATCATATTTGATTTATTATATTATTAGGTACTGAAAAATGTATAATATTCCAGAATCATAGATAATTTAATAAAATTTCTGTTACTTTTAACATAATATAACTATTTACATACACACGTACTTGAGCTACATTTAAAATTTATTTTTAACATGATAAATAGAATATATAATTGAATAAAATGCTATTTTTATAACAAACAAAATATAATCATATTTTCAGCCTAAAGTTTTAAAAATACTTTTAATATTCAGTTGTGTTTTAAATTTAATTTCAGTAAACTTTTAAGTTTTTTGGGAGCATTTTACATCAAAAGACAAATAGACCCAAAACAGGATAAGCTATATTGGTCAATTTTAAACAGCTATATTAAAAACAGTATGAAAGCCGGTCATCATATAGAATTTTTTTTGGAAGGTGCCCGGACCAGATGTGGAAAATGTTGTGTGCCTAAAGGTTTATGTTTATAAAAATAAATGCAAATATTTTGCTCAGCCTATCTATATACAATTTATGTTTATTTTTGATCAGGTGGTTTGTTAAGTATAATAGTAGATGCTTACCGTGAAGGAGTTATTGAGGACGCTTGGATTGTTCCTGTGTCCATAAACTATGACCGGATTTTGGAAGGAAACTTTGTAAGAGAACAACTCGGGCAATCAAAAAAGAAAGAGACTTTCTTCATGGCAATATCAACTTTTATTAAAGCTATTTGTTCTCATTATGGAATAATGAGAGTAGATTTTAATGTTCCGTATAGGTTAAGAGTATGTTATTATAACTTATAAATTTGAATAATATATATTATACAGTTAAAATGAGCTATAATAATGCAGGTAATATTGAATTGTAGAATAAAATTTTGTTCTTCATGTATAAATAAATTAAATAGTCAACTCGTCAAATCCATTAAGAGTAATTTTGACTGTACATCCATTACACATATTATTTTATAATTTGACAATATACAATATTAAATTTTTCTTTAGGATTTGTATGAATCTATAAATAAAAAAACAAAATTAGAAAATGAAAAATTTGAAAATATTGGTTTGGAAATAATGTCTGAAAATGCTCAATATAGACGTACAGTAGACGGAATGGCTAAACATATAGTTTATGGTAACATTATTTGTTAAAATTATAATAAAATATGTCACTAATAAATAATAATAGTCTTTATTTTGAAAATCTGTTATAATTTATTAATAATATCAATTTTGCAGATAAGTATTAGATTGATTTTGGTTACAGATTGTTGGAAATCAACTGCTATCATGTCAACAAATGCTGTGTGTTTTTTACTTTTGAAACGATTTAGAAATGGCACAACAATAGAACAGTTGGCTTTAGAATTATCTTTATTGCGTGATAAATTGTCTCAAGCTGATAGGGATGTTGGTTTCAGTGGTAATTCTATAGATATTGTTAAACATGCTGTAAGTAGATATACAATGACATTTTTTTTTGGAAAGTATAAAAATTGTTTTTTGTATTTCAGTTAGGTCTTTTAGTTCCAAAGCTAGTTGTTTATGAAAAAACTGACGTTGGACCTATTGTTAAACCTATTCTCACTGTACCAAGTCTAATAGAATTATCATATTATGGGAACAGTCTTCTTTCTCACTATCTTCATTCATCAATTGTAGGTTAGTATGATATGAATTTATGAGTACCTGTATTCTTTTGATTAGGAATAATTATGTTATTAAAGAAGAAGTTTATTATCTATCCTACTTCTGTCTAAATTTTACAACATCCGATATCAACGTACATATCTAATTGATTATAAATGACTAGTAAATATATTTTAATGAATAGTATGTAATGCATATCAACATTTTCATACAAATATTCTTTTTGTGAATCTGTTTTTAAAATAGGGCTTTTTTATTTGGAAATCTAAAGTGTATGTTTATCAGAGTAATAACTGTAAAAGTAAAAAGCGAGAGTAAAAAATTGTAAATATTGTTATTACAGAATTTAAAAAATTCCCTAACGATTGAAAATAATTGAAATCAAACCCACCTAAGCATCTGAGAAAATCTCTGGTTCATGTTAATGAATCACTGTAAAAAATAAGATATTTACTATTTTTTAAGTTAACTTTAATATAATGACATTTATACATTTACCCAAATATGTATTTAAATGATTGGCAATAATTGTGAATTATTTATACCTAATATTTTTACAGCTATGGCATTGAGTAAACTAGTGTGTCCAGAGTTTTGGAATAAAACATTAACTGAAACAAAAATCTCGGGAAATGAATTGTTAGAGGATTTGATATTTTTAACTGAATTATTGCAATTTGACTTTGTATTTATTAAACCATGCGATAGCCTGGAAAATGTTTTAGAATCGGTACTTCGACAATTTGAATCAGAAGGAATTGTTTTAATAGATATGGTATTTAAGAAAATGCGAATTGTTTTTACCTGACTGATTACAGTACAAATGTAAGTTATATTTTCTTTTATTTTACAGCTACTTGATGAAGAGAGACGAAGTCAACATATAGCCAAACAATTAGATAGTGATTCTGATGATTCATATGATTCAGATAAACCCTATGAGAAATTTGATGTTAAATATCGTGTAAGAAAATTGTTTTTTTAATTATTTTGTATAATATTAATTTTGACATGTTTATTTTAATTTGATAACAACATTATATAATGTTATAATTATGTAATGTGTTTTGAGTTGCGGAGAACACTCCCTAACATGTTACTTATTATACCATTAAATAACATGTATGTAAAAATTAATACATATTTCTAATGTATACCATTCAACATTTTATCAAATATTATCATTTTTAAAAATTAAATTGTGTTTAATTCTGATGCCAAAATATAAATATAATTTTATTTTTTTTAAATTATTAGTTATGTTTACATCTTTCATAATTTTCAACTAATATTATGTTAAATATGATTAATAATGTAAGTACTGTTTGAATTGTCTATTCTAGGATAAAATATGACAATAATTTGTATAAAAACAAATAATAGCAATCCTGATTTGTATTATTATTTTAGTTGATTGCATAGTATGTATGTAATATTTTTATTGGCCATATTTATTCAAAAACCTAAAAGTGTAAAGGCAGATGACAAATTTTGTTTGGTAGGAGTGATTAGATCCTCCCCCTTATAAAGGGGTTTTTTCTATGTTTTTGGTATGTTTCCATATGAAGTCTGTCAGTCATATAGTATCTACATTAATAGTTTATTTTCATACACTATCAGAGCATGTTTTAAATACTGATAATTTTCAGTTCATATTAAAATTTACATTAGATATATAGTAGATAAGATGTACGCACATTAGAAATTAATGTTCTTCTCTAATAAATGAAAAAATTTTTTATTATAGATTAGTGCTGATGAAAACAGTTTGAATAAAATAAAGTTTTATCGATCAATTATCATGCCGTACTTAGAATGTATGGCTGAATGTGCTGGAAGTTTTTATGATTTGAATGATGATACAGTGCCAGAACGCTTACATGTGCAAACTATTTTAGAACAAATGCATGAAAATTTGGCAGATGGCTATTTAGTTCATGGTAAATTTTGATGCACATTATTTTTCGTTTTATGTGTATGAATGCTGTAGTAAATTTTATAATAAATATCATACTCAAATTCTAACTTAAGAATTCATTTTCACTCAACCTCTGGTATATTGAAATTTTAATTTGTCTGTTGCAACGTAAACATATAATTGTAATTTGATTTATAATTGACTTTTACTTACTTATTATTATATTGAACTAATGTTTTACAGGAGAGAGTATATCTGTGGATACAATTAAACATTCATTTTTAGCATTTGAAAAATTTCACTGCTTAACAATTACTACAACCGATAATGTAAAAATGTTGAGTCTCATTGATAACGAACGTAATGAAAACCTCAGAGAAAATATGATTAGTATGTCTAAATATATTGAAGGATTTGTGAAACAATTAGACTAAGTGATAAATATTCTCTTTTTAAAACTTATAATGTAATTTAAAACAAATGTATTCATTTGCTCAATTTTATTGGACTGTTGATATTTTAAAGAAATTATTTTATCAATGTTTGATTTATTTTCAAGTATTATAGTATGGATAAGTCATAAAATATTTAGATTAATGTTAGTTTCTTGCCTTAGTAAAATAAGTTTTGTTCATACTATAGTAATTAAATTTACATTATTATATATTATTTTTTACTTTGAACTTCTTAATTTATAATTAGATTTTTGTATTTAGCTCAAAAATCACCAAAATATATATATTTATACATTTTTCCTAAATATGTTATTATTGAGGTTCAGAAGTTATAGTAGCTAAATTTAAAAAAATCTTCATTAATCTTCATTAAAATCTTCATCATTAATCTTCATTAATTCTTTTGGTTTTGTTAAAATGTATACATTTCTTTACCGTAATTGTGATGCAGTATTAATATTGTGTTCTTTTACTCTCTCCTTTTACTCTCCTAGATTTTTACGTGTAGCATATTTTCTGAAATGATATCAGTGTGGGGACGCACTTTAGGGAGATAATTTTTGGATTTTATAATTATAATATAATCTTTGGTACATACATGTATCTGATTATTATTACCATCGTTTTTGTTATTCATACATAATATTGCATTGATCAGGATTGGTTGTTGACATTTAAAATTCAAAATGTCAATTAATTTTTTGGGAAGGAAGAAAAGGCTTATAAAGTATAATAATGAAAGACATAAAGATAAATATGAATTAAATTTTTATTGTTATACATATAAATTTAGGTACTATCTCGGGTACGCACTACTGACAATTATGAGTGCCTATGTATGGGGGTACTTGTAAACATTAATAATTTTGATAAATATAAATTTAAAACTTCATTAATTATATATTTTGAGAATTTTTTTAATTTTAGTCGCACCTAAAATATCTACTATGGGCACCCATTTTGAAAATATAATATTATATATTCCGATAAATTGTATAATATAAATAATAACGATCACACATAAAGATATTAATTTAATAACACACATTAATTTTTAACACATAATTATATTACACCTAATGTATAATATAATTTAACAAATAAATTTTAATATAGATATATCCTGTTATAATAATAAAAAAAAACAATAACAATATTATAGGTAATAATTAATTTTAATGTATATAATGATAATACCCGAGTGGTTTGGATTAAAAACAAACAATAATGTGCTTAATTATTGATCTATTCTACTATAATAGTGTTTAAATAGTTACGTAATAGTGTAATAATAATAATAATAATAATAATAGTAATTTTGAATAAATATAATAGCAGTATTTTTCCTATATTTTAATAATTATATTCTGCATGACTACCTAATGTATTAAATGATAATTAGTAGTATATTATAAGCGAATATTTAAAAAACCAAAGCTAACAAATTTTAACTTAATTTTTAATTTATCCACGCACTACGATTTAGTATCAATATTTCTAGCTACTTTTCAAGTTTTAATGTTTTTAAAAAATACCTAATAAGGTGTAGAAGCTACCCATGTAGTTTAAATATCGTATCAATGATTTAGGGATCGCGAGGCAAGATATGACCCTTTGGGAGAAACCTTATGAGATTGTCCGATAAAGTTCCTATGCCCCCCGGCAACGGATACAATGGATCCGCAGCATGGTTGCAACGTCGCCGCTGTTCTCTTCCCCCAAGGGAATTAATTATACCTGCTGTACAATAAAGTTTACCAAATATGATTTAATATAGATATATGTTATTATGTTAGTGAAAAAAAAACAAAAATCATAGTATATAGGATCTTAATAACGGTGTTCTAAATCTTGATGGACTTTATTTTAAAAATATTTTTCTCTATTTGTTAAAAATGGTCGCCTGCAGTCCAAAACGAATTCAATACTAGATCTAAAGAATTATAAAATTGAAATTTAATAAATTTAATATGGTTTTTGGTCAGAAACGTAATTCTTTTTGGAAATTCGGTGTGCACGAAATTTAATATAAGTTTAAATCATACTAAGCTATTGAAGAAATAAAACTAATCAATTACACACGCTATAGATTTAAATATTATGTAGATCTGGTGCAGTTAATTGTATACGTTTGCTTAAATTTTTATTATTATCTTTATAACTTAATTAGTTTAACTTAAAATCTAATCAATATACAAGTGTGTCGAAGAGAGACAATTGTCACGGTCATGAAAGAGTTCCCTCCCGGTTCTTATTAAAAAGGGAGAGAAGACATCATGTATGCCCCGTCATGTAGGTCCTTGTGCCTCCTCGACTCGACCGGGAAATTGCTCGAGAAAATAATAGACAACTGTTTAAAGGACTTTCTCGACAGCGATGTCCTAAACGGTCTCTCGGAGAACCAGTTCGGCTTCCTCAATGGTCAAGGCAAGATAGATGTTTTTTGAGAATTTCTCAAGTTTGTCGAGGAATTCAATGCCAGAAATAAGGTTGGACTGCCGCGTATGGACACCCAAAATACCTTTAACTCTGCGTTTGAGACTCAGATAAGTGCGGAGCCGAACATTAAGTACTTGGGATTACGGTTCGACATAAAACTTAATTTCACAGAACACGCAATATTGATGGTGGCTAAAGCGAACAAACCCGTCCAAAACCCGTCCAGGATATTACCATACGTGAGCGCTACCTAGCAGATCAAAAGGATGTTCCTATCCAACGTGGTACACTCACTCTTCTTATACAGAACGCTAGTATGGGTGGACTCTGGGCTGGTGAAAGTTAACAGCGCATGGCTCTGAGGGTAATTAGTGCTTACAGCGCGACCGAAGCATCACTTTTGTTAGTAGGTCTCCCTTCTTTCGAGTTTAAAGCCACAAAAAGAGCCAGCATCAACAAAGGCGCTCAACACCACACATCTAAGAACTGTCTGTTGGTGGCATGCCAGAGAAGCTGGGACTGTGGAACGAAAGGCGATGAATGCACAATCATCAGTTATGTTATGAGTAATGTGTGCCCATGTAATATGGGAGGGGCAAATGTCCTGCCTTGCATAAATTTATTATTAATTGTAATTTATATCTTCATTTAGTATATATTTTGAGTTTTTTTTTTTTATTTTGCTTGTCCCTTCAATGTTCCTATTATGGGCGCATTCTGATAAATTTCAAAATATTAATATTAACGAACACACATAAAGATATTATTTTAACAACATGCATAATTTTGTTAACACTCAATTTAATTCTACGTAATGTATAATATTATTTGACAAATAAATTTTAATATAGATACATCTTATGTTAATGAAAAGAAAACGATAGCCATATAGTTAATTTTCCTTAATTCATAATATTAATAATGTATGCAATAATGATAGCGGTTTAGATTGACAAGAAACATAAGTTGTTTAATTATGGATCTATTCTACTTGTTTGGTGTTTATTTTCTTACATAGTTACATTATAATGTTATAATAATCAGTGGTGCCGATTCTATATACTAGGTGATGTTTGGCGCCTAATATGTTTATGTTTTTTTATCCCGTTTATGTTTTATGTTTTTTTATTAAAATTAAAATTTGTATAAATATCAATAAGCGACGATTAATGCATTATGTATGGGTAAATAGAAAACAAAATGTTATTTGAGTCTACTGTAAAATTGTTTTATTTTCTGTATCCAGATTATAATATTTTATAAAAAAAATCGTTTATTTTAAATTAAACCTACCAAATTTTTTTGTGCAATAAGAATTATTGTTGTCCTTGCATGGTTGCAACGTCGCCGCTGTTCTCTTCCCCCAAGGGAATTAATTATACCTGCTGTACAATAAAGTTTACCAAATATGATTTAATATAGATATATGTTATTATGTTAGTGAAAAAAAAACAAAAATCATAGTATATAGGATCTTAATAACGGTGTTCTAAATCTTGATGGACTTTATTTTAAAAATATTTTTCTCTATTTGTTAAAAATGGTCGCCTGCAGTCCAAAACGAATTCAATACTAGATCTAAAGAATTATAAAATTGAAATTTAATAAATTTAATATGGTTTTTGGTCAGAAACGTAATTCTTTTTGGAAATTCGGTGTGCACGAAATTTAATATAAGTTTAAATCATACTAAGCTATTGAAGAAATAAAACTAATCAATTACACACGCTATAGATTTAAATATTATGTAGATCTGGTGCAGTTAATTGTATACGTTTGCTTAAATTTTTATTATTATCTTTATAACTTAATTAGTTTAACTTAAAATCTAATCAATATACAAGTGTGTCGAAGAGAGACAATTGTCACGGTCATGAAAGAGTTCCCTCCCGGTTCTTATTAAAAAGGGAGAGAANTGTTTTATTTTCTGTATCCAGATTATAATATTTTATAAAAAAAATCGTTTATTTTAAATTAAACCTACCAAATTTTTTTGTGCAATAAGAATTATTGTTGTCCTTGCATGGTTATAGATAGGTATAATACCTAAAAGGTGTTACAAGTAATTTTGCTTCTGGCCTCGTGCATCCTGAGGACAGCCTTGTTCGGTGCCACTGATAATAATAATAATAACAATAATAATAATAATAGTAACATTGAGTCTCATATTTTCTAAAGTAGTTTTCCTATATTTTAATAGTTATATTCCGCATGACTACCTAATGTATTAAATGATAATTAGTAGTATATTATAAGCGAATATTTAAAAAACCAAAGCTAACAAATTTTAACTTAATTTTTAATTTATCCACGCACTACGATTTAGTATCAATGTTTCTAGCTACTTTTCAAGTTTTAATGTTTTTAAAAAATACCTAATAAGGTGAAGAAGCTACCCATGTAGTTTAAATATCGTATCAATGATTTAGGGATCGCGAGACAAGACATGCTGAGCTGACACGTAGGGACTTCACAAAGGGGTTGTGGGTTAGTGAGTACGATGGGAGGAGATGCATGCCTGCATACCCACCCAATCTTATATTAGCATATTGTATATTACAGGTTTAATGGCTAATGAGATAAGTACTATGAAAAATAGACTCGGGTTGTCTGTGTCATGAAAAAATTTGAGTTCAGCCATACTTCAAATAATAAAACCAGTTGATTACTACAATATTAAATTAAGGGCGATCTTTTACAGAGATAGGCCTACCCTGGGATAATACCTATTGATCAAATTCATCTAAAAAATATTTCTAATAGCATATTGATTTCGAAATGTCACATGATACTAATTTAACTAGAAGTTAAATATCCTACCAAATATCGTGCATAGCTTTTGTTCATTACTAATAGAACGATCATTGCGTCCAAGTAATGTTGTTGTAAAAGTCGATACTGAGTTACAAAATACACCAAATATACAGTAAAACACCATATCAGACATGTTATGGGCCACCGAAAGAAAAAAATAATTGTAATGAAAGCTAAGGCTGTCCACATCATTATTAATATGGCTTTTTGAATGAAATAGGTAATCGTTTTGTTTCGGTTCCTATAATTTTGTTCCATTAAATTGTTGAATATATAAGTCATTTTAAATATAATGTATATATCTACTAACTCTAAATTATTCATAGTTATGTAGGTATATGTTTATAGTTTATGAGTTAAAATGATTATCTTACGTGAACGCTTGATCAAACCAACAATAAATATCGCGATTACGCATATAGCTAAAACAGTTAGAACAGCCTCGTTTTCTAATTCCGCTGCTGCGTTAGCTTTCGACTTACACAATTTGCAGCGGCTACAAGGACTCATTGTCAAACAGTACGGTAAAGAGTATAATCAGTATAATATCAATTGTGTCATTAAATTAATATAATAGTTTTACTGTCCGGTTTGTGTCGGTGACCCGCTTTACGGCCGTTATTACGATTAAACACCCGACGACGACGTAGATGTATAATCTAGTGGCGAGCGGTTATCAGTTGCCTGCGGCTCGGTTCTGCAGGGCGACTGGCGGCGTGCCTGACTTTGTCGGGCGATCGCGCGTCGCTCCGGCTGGTGCGCGGGACGGGCCGGCGACGGTGGATGCGGCGGCGGCGGCGGCGGCGGCGTATTTGACAATCGACCTGTGCCAAATGTTTGCGGGAATCCCGCAATAGTATCTCGGTATGACCGTCTGGTGACGTTTCTTGGCGTGCGTCCTCAGCGTGTCGATCCGGCTGTAGACCGCGTCGCACTCGGAGCACTTGTGGTCCCGCGAATAATGCGTTTGGAAATGATGCCACTTGCTGCGCACGTGTTTGGCGCACAGCTTGCAGACGTACAGCTTCGCGTTCGCCGGGTCGCCGCTGAATATCTGATCGCAGTTGGGTTTTCTGTGGTACTTGATGTCTGAAAACAAAAAAAATCCGTTTGCCGGTTAGCCGATATTATGTCTGCTACACAAACGTTTTGTTGTTTTCGTTCAGTCCCGTCGCGACGGGACTGAGAAAATCAGATCGGTTCCGGTGTAACAGGCGATTCGCGCCACAAGTGTATTATTGCCTCGGTGGTTACGAATCGCCAAAAGTATAACCAAAGACAGGTAAATGAAATTTGCGTCATGACCAGTGTTGTGAATAGATAACGAAAATTTCATCCAGATAAGATACAAATAGCTGTAGATTATACATTCATATAGGCGCAGATAAATAAAAGGTAATTACGGTTCAAATTTATCTTGATTAGATTAAGATAATCTAATTTTTATCTAGATAATATGATAGACAAAATTAATTTTTATCATATTTAAATAACAATCTTTTCCAATTTATAGCCTACGTGAATTATTATTATTATTGCCAATTGTTAACGCCATCATTGATTATAATTAGGTATCTGTATTTATAATCAATGATACCGTGAATAGAGTTATGGTAATAATATTATATTACTATTTTGGCTGTAATAATAATGTGCAATAACTAACATTGCGTGCGAATGATCGAGCGCGTCCCTATCTTCATAAATGCGGCGATTAATCGTGCAAAATGAAAATATCAGTATTAATGTTGTCGACAATTTTCGAGTCAAAGAGTCGTAAAATAACATCTCTAAGTATAAACTTTATAAAATTTGCTATTAGATCATGTGAATCTGGTAATATTATGAGTATACGGACTAATTGAATAGTATTCTGAAAGAAAAATGTTAGTAAAAAAAAAATGAATATGATTTAAATACAACTTATCTAGATGAGTAAATGTGTTATCTAAGATAACCAATAGATAAATGGAAAAATAGTTATCTAACTAAGATAATAGATAAGTAATTTTCTATCTAGATAATTACTTAGGTAGATACATTTATCTAGATAAGTCTCAACACTGGTCATGAGTATTATAGAACTTACAAAATAAAATTATAACTTGTATTTTTATTTGAAATAAATACGCAGCTGATACTTATACAAATTGGAAGTCCGAAATACGTTAAATAATATTGTAGAAGTTTTTTTTTAGACGATTGAATGAGGGCGTTTGCCTGTGAACGCGGCGCGGTATTTTCTGTATCCCTTTAATACATATTATTATGTATACGCTTGTATTTATAACAAATTTATAGATATTGGTTCGGTTTATTGATTTATTTAAAATAGCAATAGGGTATTTAGTAATTAAGTAATTTAACTGTTTATCATTCTTGCGACGATATTCATCTACGACGGTCAGTGTTAATGTACGGTGATAAGAAGTTACGTGTACTTATCTATAGGGATAAAAATTATTACCTAATTTTGGCAATTCATACCCACCGAGGTAATAATATATATTTTTTGAGGTACAAATCGCCTGTTACTCTGGCTGCCGAGTTCCGTCCAAAATGTAAAATTTGAATTTGAGGATATCCCAGTTCCGTCCCGGGTTTTCAAAATGTATATACTAATTCCGCCCCGTATTATTTATTTAGTTATACGAGTTCCGCCCCGTATAATTTATTTGGTCACACGAGTTCCGTCCCGTTTTGCATTTTTTCCATTATATTAATATAATATACAATTTACGGTAACAATTTTATATTATTTAGAAAAAAAGATAATAATGCTTTAAGTTATCGCACTAAATAATCGAATTTGTTTATATTAATACTTCAATATTATTGTATTTTAACATTGAAAAAAAAAAAAATGTCTTTATATATTATTATTTTTTTATATCATATAAATTTAATCCAATAAAAAATTTCTGATAATGAAAGTATATACTACGTTTGAATTTTGTGTACTTAATATTTATGTATTTTAACATTGATAAGACAAGTTTTAATCTAAATGGAATTGGTATATACACTTTTTTTAATCGGGACGGAATTGGTATATACCTTTTTTTTTTACTGCGTATATTTACTACCCTCAAAATAAAAAGAAAAAAAGGAAAAATCCGCCATGATATCACATTATCATGACCCGTTCATACCACTTTTGTCACTAAAACCAAAATGGTAATAAAAGTTGTTTATTTGTATTAATTTTAGTAATTTGTATAACTGAAAATTTCACAATTTCGTAGAATGATAAAACAGGCCCTATCGTGTTGTTTTTCGAAGCGTAATCGTGTTGCGTTTTTCGAGGGTAAAAAGGTGAAACGGACGTAATTTTTACACCCATCGCAGTACCACTGCGGGATATCGTCTTATCCGCGTTAATCTTGCGGCCGTTTAGAGAGACGGTTTCGGTTCACTTTTTTACCATTTTTTCAAAGAGCCGTCTCAAAACAAACTTTACTGATACGCCCAAACTTACCAAAAATGTACGGGGGGGGGGGAAGGTTTCAAATTGAATATTTACATGTTTACATTTTATGTTTCTGTATAAATAAAATGAAATAATGGTTAAATATATACATAGGTACTAATTATAGCTCTCTTTCTCTCTCCAAGCGGTCGCGTTTGATAGCCCGGCCATTATCTTCTTAGACACTGTTTAACAAATGAGGCGATATATTAGAACAGGAAGTTAGATTCAACAGTAAATTACTTCTTTTTTCTTTTTCAAATTCTGAGTGGAGCGATGAATGTATTGTTTTTACAGTGAAGTTTATTATTATTTTTTTTTTTTCTGTGGACATTTTTCCTACTAGCAATCCTGCTCCGATTTACAATGATAGCACTTTTTGTAAAAGAAAATCTGACTGGAGAGGTACTTAAAGGAGGTCGTTTTTTTGATTTTCCCAAGAGTTTTCCAAACAAATGGGAAAAACCGAAAAATACGTACAATATTAAAGAAAATGTATAATACATATGTAATTATTTCACCACAATATCACATATATATTATTGACTAATTAACACTATCAGCCGAATTCCGCACAGAATAGTTTTTTCGTTTTTAATGGTTAATGATTGCGTACAGATATGCATTAAATTTCTCACCTATAATACCCGTCCCCATTATCCTAGGACAACTTTCAAATAATTATTCTTATTCACAAAATAATATAGGTAATTCAAATACCGTAAATGTTTTTTAGAATCGATAATGTCGCCTCGTTAATGTTTAATGGTAACGGTAACGCTTCGTGGTTGTTTTCGAAATAATTACTGGTTTTCACCTGCAATATTCATAAAAGTAACACATTATTATCTTAAATATTCGCAAATTTGATATAAAAAATAGCCAATAGGTATTTAAAATTTATAGAACTACGATAGTATAAAAGAAGCAACTTTTTTCTTCGCTAATACTTAGTATTTTTTAAGCATAATATAGTTTTTCTACGCTAGGAATTAATTAATTTGTTAATGTTTCGATTAGTATTTTTTTTTTAATTTTTTTTTTTATCCATCCCAACAAAAACACCCCACCAACTCCGTAAAAAACGGCCAAGCGTAAAAAATTTAATTCTAAAATCCGTGATATATGTTTATAGCTTTATTATTATAGGTATATTATAAAAATCATTATTTTTTTCTTTTTACAGTCCGTACATAATGTGCTGTACAATAAGCAACAGGACGTTAGAACTATTGACAAGGAGACAACGTAATGAAAGGGTAATCCAATGGCAGTACTTTGGTTTTGTTTAATTTTTGATGGTATATACATAATTGTCATACTAGAGCTTTCTGTTTTTGTTTGACAAGTACTAAAGTAACTTAAGAAGTCTTGAGATCATTGACATTTAAACGTCTTGCGGTGTTTCTGGGAAGTGTCTAACAGAGTTTGGTTACAATTTTGTTTTAAGCATATGGTAATACAACATTAACTTATAATTGAGGTTCAATAATTTCAGGTAATTTGGTACAGGAAGATACGTAATTTGATGAAATACAAAATTAAATTAAAAAAATAAATAAGGGTATGTTAAGGAGTACAAATCTTCTAGGTAGGCACTAATCTAACAGGCACAACTGGTACAATTCCTACGTAATCTATATCTTAAGACATTTTTTGGTACCTGATCAAGTGAAATTTTTTTGGTTCTTTGATTTATCTTTGAGTTCAAAGACAAATCGATTGGTTCATTTTGTTCCATGATAACTATAGTACGGTAATGATACTTGTAAATAAGGGCCAACGTCTCAAAACAAATATAATATGTAGTTCATTAAGAATTTTTGCCCCGTTTTTATATAGACTCTGTAATAGGTAAAAATTATATGTATTATTAATTAAGGTTTTAGTTTAAATAAAACACGGTTTTATATATTTTGAATTGATATTTTTTATGCATATTTTGTTTAGTAATTATCGGGTTCACATCTACGTATTTATTATGGTTAAGGTTGATCCAAGAGTTATTCGTCCAAATTATTTTTGAAGAAGCTAATAATTTTATATCTATACCTTTATGATAATAAATAATACAAATTTAAAATACTAGGTATTATATAATTAGCTACCCTTATGTATTTTTGTGGTATAATTACAATTCTTACAAATTCGTGTTCGACCATTGTGTTGATTAGGTAGTTTGTACTTATAAACTAGAATGTTTATTTATTACAACTCGCATTGCACTTTGATTTTTAATTTGATTTAAAATAATGATATAAACAAGATAGTAAAAAAGAGTTAAAAATTGATCTTTTTTTTAAGAAAAACATGAATTTTTGATAAAAACAATAAAAAACGGAGTTTATTGTGAGTTGTATGATGTCTTCATCTTTCCAGTCAAATAATAATTATCGAAATTGGACAAATCTACGAGGCATGCGAATTTTACCCGTAAAGCATGGTTTTGAGCCCTTAAGTAAAATACTACAATATTCTAATCAGGTACGTACCCATATGAAATACATTTCAACAATGTTTCTCATGATTTATTAAAAAAAGTAGTGTGTTATTTTATAATTATGCCATTTGGCTTGTTTTTATTATTATTATTATTTTTTACTTTAATAACTAATGATGCATTGGAAAATTATTGTCAGATTTTCAGGCTTCTTTTACTTTGCCAAAAAGTATAAATTAGTCAATGTTAAATGGAAATTAACAGTATAGAAAATACTAAGTATTTTTACACTTATATTGTTTAATAAGTGTACACTTGTACACTTGTAAGTATTTGTTAAAAATTTTCAGTATCTATGGTTATTTTTTAAATAGGTAGTTAAAAAAAATTATCAATAGTACTTACCTTTAAGGTTTATTAAGTAGTTTACTACTTTGTTTTTATAATTAATAATGTTATCCATAAAAACAATAATATATAATAATGTGCAAATATTCAAAATAATTATAATTATAAAGCCTACGAAACAAGAGACATAAGCAATTTTGATAGGTCGTATACAGTTAATGAAATCAATACTACGTAAAGAAATTCAAATTTAATTATTATGTATAGATTTATATATGTATTCGTCAAGAGGAAGGGTCTTTGCAAGTTCGAGAAAACGTGTTGAAAGCCTGCAGAAAACATAAAAAAAAAATATAGTTTGTGCAAAAGTACGATAAATATATAAACAAAAGTATACATATATTAACATTTTGTTATAAAACCAATATACAGATGAATATTTAAAACCAATACAACGGATGGAATTTAAAATTTTACTTGTAAATTGTATGGTATATAATCGATAAACAATAATGCGTTGGGTAAATACGTAAATCATTTTTTCAAAGGGAAAGGACTTTGAAAATATTTTTCTAAAAAAAAAAAGTCTCTTGTAGCTTGAATAGCCTAATGCCAGAATAATAAGCCAATATAAGTCACGATCGTGTGCACGCCTATATGCATAATACTATCTACATATTATACACCACTATAAACTACTCTAAAAATTATTTTGTGCTAAATATATTTATTATTTAGGTAATTCAATGGTAAATTAAGGTCTACTAAAACTAATATTTATAATATTACATAATTACTTATTTTTAGATTTTGAGCAAAGCGAGGAATGTGTATATTTTGTTTAACTACCTGTATGCGTGTGTTTTTTTCTGTCTGCAAACGATTTTTCTATCAGAAATTTCGATGCCAATCATCAAATGTAATATATTTCCTAAAAGACGATTTCGTTTAATTGGTGCATTAGAGGAGTTATTTTAGATTCTGAGCGGAGCGACGAACGTATTGGTTCTATAATAATGTTTATTTTATTTTTCTGTGGACAACATTTTTACCAGAAATTTCGTTCCGATTTTCAATTATAACACTTTTTGTGAAATGTAATCTGACTGGGGAGGTACTTCTATGTGTCATAACATGTCGTTTTGTAAGGCTTTTTTGCTAGATCCGTGTATCCAAGGCAAAGAAATAAACAAAATGTAAAACCTTATAATAATAATATCGTTTTTCACTACGAAGGATGATTTTTAGGGGTGAAGGGGTTGAGTATTAAAACTCTATTAAAGCCTATAATCTTCTCGGAAAAATTCTGATCATTTAGCTAAAAGTATTTTTACAATCGGATGAACGGTTTAGGAAGGCATACGAGACATATAGACAAACGTTCATTTTTTTATAATATAGCTGTCCCGGCAATGCTTTGTTATTGCTAGACTTTATTATTATCTATTATTATTATTATTATTATTATTATTTTTTTTTTTTTTGTAGTTGAATTAACAATTAATATTCAGTAGATACCATAGATACGTTTGGACCAGAAATACCACATAATCAACAAAAATAATAAAATATTTACTTTGTTACCAAGGTAACCCTAGTCAACAAAAATTATACCACAAAATACCAAAATCCTTGTGTTAGCTATCCTTTAGGGGATAAATTTTAGAAATTTTAATAATTATAAACCTTCTCCGGACCACGTGAAACATTTTGCAAAACACTCAGTTAAAATCGGTCCAGTAGTCTTTGAGTCTTTAGAGGACAGACAGACATTCTTTTATATACATAAAAAAAAAATATATACATATATACATATTTATTTAATTAAAACATACTTAAATAACGGGTCTTATTATATGCGTACCAAATTTCGTCCATAGCAATAATATTTTTACCTCCCGTTAAACTTATTCGCTTCTCTTCAAAATTGATTACTATATTATTCGTAATATTAAAATCATTTCCTAATACTATCTTACAATTAAGCTCTTTTATTACATAAGCACGTATTATGTACGAATAATTATTTATTTTAATTTGTAAATCTGTTACTCCCAACTGTTCTAAAATGGTGTTATTTGCACTTATTAAGATGATCCTAAAGGGCATATCCCTTTTAATGCATGCAGTATCATTTAGTAAAGAAACATCAATACAGGAGATATTAGAGCCAGTATCAATAATGGCTGATCTAGTTATACCATATAGTTCAATAAAAATAGACAGCACTCGGTCTTCCTTATTTGCCTCTGTATAATTACTTAATCTTTCCACTGAAAATATTGTATTTTTATACAAATTCTTCTCTAAGTACCATTTTTCTACAAAGTTAAGATAATCTGTTTTCTCTCTATCTACCATATCATTAAAAGTTTCTCTCTCATAGTAAATTTTATTTTTTCGAGTTGGACATTTCTCGAACCCAATTGATCTTTCTACGTTTTTTGAAAAAGAACATCTATCAGCATTACCATAGCTACCTTTTGAATTATATCTAAAATAGGTAACTCTGCCTAAATCGCCCCTGGTTTCTTTTAGATATTTTTCAGGAATTCTGAACTTTTTAAATCTATCTCTACTATAAGATATATTTTTTCTTCCATCGCTATAATATTGCTTATTATAGTTTTTGTCCGTATCTCTGTCCATAGAATTCTTATCGTAATTGTTATCCCTGCTGTGGTATGTGTCTTTCCTATCATTATTGTAATATTGCCTATTATAATTTCTATCCGTATTATTGACTCTAGATCTCCTATAATCTCTGTTTCTTGTTTCTAAAAAGGTGCTAGTATTCTCCTCCGGAAAAGTAGACAAAGATTTTATTTTATCTTTATATTTCCAACTATTAGCTTCCGATGCTTTTTCATATTGTTTATAGAATTTTCTACCGTCATCGATCCCTAAACAATTGTCTGATTTAACCCTCCAACTATTAGTTTCCATTTCTACCTCTATTTTTATTAATAGTGCTATAATGAGTAAAGCTATCGTTTAGTATTCCGTTATGTTCTTCAATGAATGAAACTTTCTTTTTTAATTTAACCGTCTTATTCAAAACTTCTATTAATATTTATGGATTTTCAGGAATACTGCTAGCAGTTTGTGTCAGTACCAGCTGAAATTAGTGCGTTGTTATTAATTAACACGATATCAGCCCACCACTAGTTTGTTTTGATACAAGTTGTCAGTTAAGTCTATCAGTTTATTAGTATGATTGAGTATATTGCTTGCGCTAATGTTTAATTGATCGTCTAAATCTTTAAAATTGTGTACTGAAAAAATCTCTCCGCCACAAGCTTTTAGTTTACGAGGGTTGCAAATATTACAAATTCTCAATTGTCTTAATATTATATTATATTATTCAATTTTATTTTTAAATTTATTTATGTATTTTAAGTTTAAGATATGTTTTGTGTGCAAAAAAAAATTATTTGCAAATAAATATTATTATTAAAAAAGAAATTCTGTTTTCAAAAGAAAATTTCTTAATTTTGATCTTTTCATCAGTATTTAGTATGCTCTTGTACTGTAAACTTTAGTGTTAGCTCTAAGATCATCAGATTTCCATAAGCTTTTTAAATTTTTACTTTCACATATAGATACTAAATCCGGTTTTTCGAGTGCGTGAATGTCTATCAAAGAATTAATTTTTTTGTTTAAAATTTTGATTTCTGAGTTATTCATGTTCCATGTTCCAAAGAAAAAAAATATATATATGTATACAATAAATAATTTCAGAAACGTCTTTGGGTTTCTTCACCTTTCTTTTATACTTCTCTTTAAATTTATACTTATCCTAACTTTTTAACTTATTTCTTACTTACTACCTTAAAATTATTTCTTATTACTAATTTAAACATACATAGTTGAATTGTTACAATTTGTTAAATTCTCATTATACGACGAATAAATAATGTTAAATGTTGTAAATGTAAATTTTACAGAGATGTCAAATAAACAAATGACAAGAAACCTACGAGAGAAAAATTGTCCGTACTTAGTGTTCTAGTTGTTACTGTGGCTCGGCGTGCGAATCTGCTGATTTAAGGATGTTTACTTCTTATTTTATACGGCTTGTTGGATTGACCCACACCGTTTTCGATTGCTTTGGTTGCTTCTCGACAACTTGCGTTGAAATTTTCTATATAATAGCAAGTAAAACATGATATTGAAGTAAAGCTCTGACAATTATTTAACAAAAACCCAACTACTTAATGTATTATATTATTTTAATCAATACGCTTTATATCTCCATGATATATATATCACGAGATCTGAAAAATGCCATTATTTCAGTTTTATTTAAATATTTTTATGTTTTTTAGATTCTGAGCATAACGAAGAATTTATTGGATTAACTATGATGTATGTTTTATTTATTTTTTTTTATATCTGTAAGCAAATTTTCCAACAGAAATATTTCTCTTCAAAATATACCAAAACATCTTTTCTGTTGCATTTTGGAGTTGGTGAGTAAGTACCTAAGTCATTTTTTAATTTTCCAACCAGTTTCAATAAAATTTTGCAAAAAACCGAAAAAGACATGAATGAAAAACATTCAAATTTACGGCACGTGGCGTTAAGATTTTATTATTTAAAATTTTTACGATTTATGTTTTCTACCAGAAATCTTGCTTTAAATACCACGAGTTGCAGTTTTTATGAAAAAATCTTGTTTAAATTGTTATTAACATAAGTGACGGAGTGAGGTAAAAAAACTGCCCGAGCCAATTATCGGGATTATTCTATCATTTTTTTTTAGGGATTTGATAATTTCGAGTTTTTTTAGTTTTTATTTAACAGGTAAGTACTATATGGATAAAATTGTTTTACCGAATAGAAATGCTTGGTTGTTATTAATAAGTTTATTTTTTTTATACGTAATCGTTGCAAGATCAAATTTTGACGAATATCGTCAGTATTATTAGCCTTTCTAAACATGTATCTGCAATTTAACTTCACTCAGAATCGTTTTTCGTTAGCAAAGATTAAAATTTGCGTACAAATATACATTACATTTTTTCTCTACATTTTCAATTTTTTACCTACAATAGTAGTTACCAATCGTGTGTATGTCCTTTTAGTTTTATTGTTGTAATTCAGTTCAAAATGATCGTAGATTTGTCGTGACTTGAAATTTCGACAAAAACTTATATTTGCCTTTTCTAGACTTGGTAACATTTTCAAAACATTTAAGCCATTTTTGAATTATTTATAGACATTTTAATTTTGCGAGCTTTTTAAGTAATTTTTTTTCGGTAGAAACTTATTGGATATAATTGATAGACCAAACAGAAATATTTGAACATTTAACGGGAGGCTCATTAATTACTACTTAGTACTTAGTGGTCAACAAGAAAAATTTGAGTTTAATGTGGTACTTTTTTTTCACTCATGTTTTATATTAGACAAATAGAATTATTTCAATTAAAAAAATTACAAGAGACTTTTTTTGTTGAATTTTGAATCTAATTGCTTATAAAGTAGGTTTTTTATTTTTCGTGTAGTATTTATGATAGTTGAGAAAAATCGAAAAAAAAGAAATGTAGAAATAACGGGGAAATCTTCGTTTTTAGATTCTGAGTGAAGCACTGCATTGTTTTGCAATGATGTTTATTTTATTTTTGTATTTATATTTATTTTTAAATGCCCGGTAGGCATAGAGTACAGAATTAATACATGTATATAATGATTAAAATTATTTCAGTAAACATCATAGAGACAAATAACAACGAGTAACGAAAATAAGTCAAGTAAGACAACATTTAGCACTATGAACTATAAAGTAAACATTTAAGATAATAATAGAACTAAGAACTATAGAATATAATTTTTTTTTTTCAAACAATGTTTCATCTCTAAGAGAGAATTAAAAAAAAAAAATCAAAATAATAAGTTTATTACATAGACTTAACATTCGATTAACCAATAATTATGTTTGCGAATAGATAAATTGAACGAGGTTGTGGTATTTTTTTTTTGCTATGTACAACTTTTCTTCTATAAATATTGCTCCAATTAAAGCTTCAATCAAAGTTCACTTCTCTCGGGGGGGGGGGCGATCCCTTCCATCGGGCCTCCCTCAGGGACTCACCTGGTATAAGACATTTTTTGTATATTTGTTTTAAGTTCAAATTATAACGAAGATCATACAAATTATGGCATTTAAAAATATGTACCTATAATTAAATACTTGAATTATGTATAACTGAATGTCGCTCAGAATCGTTTCTGTTATCAACAGTTTACCGTTACATACAAGAATAAATAAAATAACTTCTACCTAGACAATTCCTCACCTAATACCGCGAGTCATTATGGAACCATTTTTCTTGGTGATATTTATAGTAATAATACTTTTCACGGGATTGTCTTTTTTTTTCTTTTCGATTTGGTTTTCTGGGGTAGTATCGTTGTTTTTTAGCTTTATGTATCATTCGACGTAGTTTTCTTTTACTAAATCCGATACGATTGGACATTACATTGATCGTCAATCTCTTCAATTTTTTTAGATCTAGTTTTATGGATATACAAATTAATACAATAATTGTCACTGATAGATTTTCCTTTTTTTAATAATATTATTTATATTTCTAATAATGGTAGCTTATTTGTATTAATAAAATAATAATTATGTAGGTACTATGGGAGAGGTCAAATAGTATAGCCTAAACCTTATGAATCGAGGATTATAATTTTTCGACTCATAGCGTTTGGATCAAAGCGCATGATTATACCTATCTATAATGAACAACAAAATAGGTCTCTTGTAATATTTCGTTTGGAGCAAGGTTTCTGCACGAATAGTTGTTTACAGACGGAAAAAAAAGTTGATACTGTTGATGGGTGTACAACTGATTTAGGTGTTAAGTTACGGAGATAGGATACATAAAGTTAAATATTTATATTTGTCACGAACAATAATCCATTGCTAAAAAATACGATTTTGAGCAACGTTCTCTTGTATATGTTTTGAAATTAAATAGATTTACGATTTTCATCAACATTTGAATTTTAAAGCGATTATAAATTGAACCAATAAATTACTACCTACTGGAATTACGTACACATACATTTAAATAATAAAAGAAAAAAAGTTGGAAGGAAGAATGCAAAAAGTTATTTAATTTATAGTTTGTAAAAAAGGACTCAATTATTTTAATCCGAATCACTAACACATTAACTAGATAATATTTTTAACCAGAAAAGATGATACTATGAAAATTCAAAACAATATAAATAAAATCGAAAATAATGAAACATTTATTATTATTATTTTGTTAATTTGTACGTTTTTCCTCTAAATTTTCCCTAGGTTTTCTTAATGAAAACACTTAGAAAATTAAAAATTTACCTTGTACTAGGAATAGCATATTTTCCGAAAGAAATTTTTTTTTGACCGATGATTAAGAATGCCATTTTTAATTTTCCGAGTATAGTATTCATAAAAATTGGGAAACATCGTAGGAAAGACATGAAAGTTTATGGCATTACTGGGTCAGTTTTGGTTCATTTTATTCGTTGTAATTTGGATGTAAATAAACGTAGACACCTGAAGTTTTTACAGATTACTTCATTTTCTAGACACGGTAGAATTTAAGAAACATATTGACGATGATTATAGATATTTTAATTTTTTTTTTTAAGTTTCTATATGATATTGTGGATAAAATTGATTGACAATAGAAATTCATGGAAATTAAATACCTATATTCGAGGTTCGTTCTAAGTTGTATTTGTGACCACACAAAAATTATGTTCAGTGTAATATAGTAGTTTATTTATTAAGCGTTTTAAGATTAAATTTGGTTAAAAATTATAAAATTTACGGTATTTTAAAACATCTATAACCAAATTTCGCTCAGAATTGTTTTTCACACGTAAAACGCTATCGTTACGTAGATATAAATTAATATATATCCTATATTTTATTTGTTTTTATTTTGTATCTATGAACAACTTTCATATTAGAAACTCTAAATTTTAAAATTTTAATTTTAAGCATATCAAAACACAGTATATATATCATATACATAGCATATCATTCAAAAGTTTGCATTTTTAACGTATTTTGAATACTTAAAAACGGAAAAATTGATGGAACAAAGCCGTAATTCTCAAAGTGGAATACATTTTTTTCATAATTATCAGTCCTAATTAGAGAATACAATCGCAGTATTCCGAATCTTAAGTTTTTTAGTTTTTATTTCAGTAAGTAAAAGAACTTTCGCTAGAATTGTAGACTGATACAAGATCGAATCTTAGTCAAAGCCACGTTAAGCAATAATCACTTATAATCATTATGAGCGTTCCATAATTTTTTCAAAATGAATCGTCCTGGTTCAAATATACCCTTTGTCTACTCCCTTAACAAAGATCTTTTATAGATTTTGGTTTATACAAATAATAGCAACTTAAACAAAAATATTATAAACATTAATTATCGCTAGGATAATTTTTTCAGACAGATAGACGAACTACAAGTATCGTGTATAAAATGACATCCTAAGATAATGGGTACGGGTGTAGCCACTGTTGTAGGTAATTCAATATATATCTGTAAGCAACGATAAATCATTGCGTACGAAAAAACGATTCTAAGCGGAGTTCAATTGGTAGTGATACTTTTGTCAACAATATATATGTCATATTAAAGTAAAATAAATAAATAGGCTTTTTTACCTATATTTTCTTTAATGATAATTGTTTAATGTTGTACCGATATTCCCAGTTTTCCTACGATTTTTCCGGTAAATCGAAAAATGAACTCCTTAAAGTACCTTCCCAGTCAAATTTCCTTTCAGAAAAATTGCTACCATTATAAATCGGAGCAAGATTGTTGAAAAGTTGTTCACAGGAAAAAAGAAGGCCGTAATATATTTTAACTAATACCTACTAATCCTTCATTTCTTATATTATCCCGTTTTACTTCAGTTTTTTTTTTGGTTTTTCAAATTTGATGTGACAATTGAAAAATGACCTCTTTAAAGTACTCTTCCCACACCAATTTCCTTCCAGAAAAGGCACTATACTTAAAAGAGTCGAATTGTGTAAATTTACGGCAAATGATCTTCGAATTTTTTGTAGTCCGAACAATGGATTGATTGTTTTGAAATTTACACGGGTCGATCAGTATGTTATGTAGACGATACTTTTGTAAATTTCAAGTTAATCGTTTGATTAAAGCCTGTGTGATATGCAAAGGTATTAGCATAATTTTTACTAAAAACGCTATTTTTTCAACAATTTAAAAATGTATATGTTGTACGAGTTGTTACTACCTGTTTGCGACGGCGGCCATTTGTTGGGAACAAAATACAATTTTGTTTATTTACTTTATCGCTGTATTACTATATTATTATCGTTTTCCAGTAACATTCATATATTCATAGCTATATATCATAATATTCATTTACACAATCCATAAAACAACAAAGATATTTTGTCTTCATAATTTTTTACTCGTAAGAAAAAACAGCTTTATTATATCCAAAATTTTAATAAAAAAATGAGTGATATTCCAACAAAAATCCTTACAATTGTTTGTATTTGGATTAAGTGTGAACAATTTCATACAAATAATTTAACTTAGCTTGGCGGCTATTCATAGAATGTACTTAAATAGTGGTATGGTAATATTATTAAATTATAAAATGGAAATGTAAATATTTTTGTCGGAATTTTATCTTAATTTGTACCTATAGTCGTAAATATTATTGGCGTAGTCGCCAAGCTAAGTTAATTTATTTGTATTAAATCATCGCACTTTATCAAATACAAACAAATTATTAACAATTTCTATATTAATAAATTTCAGAAATTACCTAGTCTCTTTTTGGTATTATAACTTTTCTAACTTGAGTTTTTATTTTTTTTTAGCGAGGTTTTCATACGTAGTTAACGGAAGATTTTTGTTAGGATATAATGTACTTTCAAATTATTTGTAAGTACCTACCACCATTAGACTACGTTTATACGTGGACGATAATGCGTTATAAGTTATAACTTTCAAGATTATCCGAGTTTGAAGCACTTTCAAACGCGTTTCCATGTGCATTAGGCAATAGCAAGTGTTAAGCTAGCAAGTGTTATGTTTAGATCGACTTTTCGAATCAAATAATTCTTAAAATTAAAACAAATGGTTGTATACAGTTATTTTAATATGTATTTGATTAAACCCTGCGCATAAATGTAGTACCAATTTGACATCCTTAAATTTAAACGAGTTGCATTATTCTATAGGTACTCGTAACAGTTGTCTTCTAAACGATTATTTTTTTATAGAGTTAGAAATTTAAACTAGGTAATTAATTTTATTGCATTTAAAAATTTTTCTTGTTTAAATATTCTAAACCTTAAATAACAAAGAACTTGTTTCAATTGCCGACGGAAAATTGGCCCAGGTTAAAGTCTTTTTTTTTTATGTCTAATATAGCATAGTTATTATTATAAATTGTTACATTTCAATTAAGTTAAGCAGAGTCCACGCTATAATTGTGACGTTCGGCAAATAGGTTTTTTGGTGAACGCGTTTATAAATGCTTAGATTTCAGGTCATATCTAATGTCCACTAAGACCTTGAGTTGGTTTCAGAAAAGAGTAATATTGTCATTAACTAACGAGCAAGCCAATAAAATAAATGACATGGTACTGTTATGATTCAATGCACCAACAAAAATTTACTATTCAGTTCATACTGTTATTAGTATACAGGAGGTGGTACATTATCCAACTGAATTTTAGATTCTGAGTGGAGCTCTGTTACAATGTTGAGTTTTACAAAGATGTTTATTTTTTTATTTATTTTTTCTCTGTGGATAACTTTTCTACCAGCTCCAACTTTTAATGTTAGCAATTTTTCTAATACGAAATTTCACTAGGGAGGTACTTTAAAGAGGTCGTTTCTCAGCAAATGTGAAAAACTGGGAAAAACATAGAAAAACCAGGAAAAACGTAGGAAAACCGGGTAAATCGGTACAAAATTAAACAAATTTACTAAAAAAAAATATATAGAGCCCATTTAATTGTTTTACTACAATATGGCATATATATTTATATATATTTGTGACAAAGCATCACTATCAACTGAACTCCGCTAAGAATCGCTTTTTCGTAAGCATTTGTTTATCGTTGCATACAGATATACATTAAATTTCCCTTCTACTACGTTCCCAACTTTTCAACTATTCAGAGCCGCTTGTATCTCAAAGAAAACTATGTTTTCCGTACTACAGAGTGATGTTAAATGGATCACCCCGTGTTAACAATACGATTGTTGTTTGAATACCATTACAACTGGCCGTGATATTATCGCGACCGGCGAGAAGAAAAGTTCGAATCGCGATCCGCCGGGGCGTAGCTGCGCGTGATTTCTGCCCGAGGACCCGGCGGCGTGTGCGTCCGCTAGCTACCGTTAGTGTGCCGGTCGACAGTTTAACTGCAGGTCGTGCGTTACGCGTGCCGTTTTTCGGGCGTAAAAAGGATTCTTGCGATGTTTTTACTAATTTTTTTCTTTTCGTTTTCGATAACGATCGTTATACGGCTTGGACATTTTAACGTGCGGGCTCGCGCGAAATCGTTTCGGTATGCGTATGAGAATAAAAATAATTTTTAGTGCAGTTCTTCGGTATAAATTAAAATATGTTTTTTTTCCACGCGCGATTTTTATACGGAAATTGGTGAGCGCCGATTTTATTGCGTATATTTTTGTGTACATTAAACAATGTCCGGTAAAGTTTCGGTGGCGAATTGCCTCGCGAAAAATTTTGGTAAATTTTTAAACCAAGTGTTTTTATTTTATAATTTTTATTAAATTAAATTTTAAAGTTTTTTTTTAACATTTAGTAGCCGGGTAGTTTTTTTTAAATTTGTTTACGATTCATTTTTAGTGCAATTTAAATGTGTTTTTAAAACAACGACGCATACAATTTTATAGTGACTAATGTATACAATTAAAAGTCGAGCTCATAATTAATATAATTAAATTATTTACACAATATAATCTAACGATATTTTCAATCACGGAACATCTGTCGATTTTTGTTCCGTCTTTGTTATTATTGTTAAAACGATTTTTATAATATTATATTGTTCGTTTTTAATTTGTATAACAGTCAATATATTTTATTTTGTTTTTTTTTTTTTTTTTTTAACGAAATTTAATATTCTCGTTCGTATAAAATAAACATAATTTTGACAAAAGGTGACTAAAAATATCTTATTTTAAATACAGTAACAACTCATAAATAATAATCAAACATCACGAGTGCGTAAAAAAAAAAAAAATCCAAAATTTTTATAATTTATAACTACGATTAATATTGTAGTCTTTTTTTTTTTTTACTAACACAGTAAAATTTATACTAAATTAACATTTTTTTGGTATTATACAGTTAATATTTAATCAAAAAAAAAATACCTATTTACATAACGGTTTCATATTTTTCTATAAGTGTTAAATTATCTTGATGAAACTTCGAATACAGTAATTAACAATTATAATTGTATACTTAAATTACTTAAATCAGTAATTAATAATTATAATTGTATACTTAAATTTCTACGGACTTAACTTAGTTACTAATGACAGTTTTCAATGATAATTGTAAAATTGTATAACTATTATATGATGAATTTATTTTGAGTAAAATAAATATGTGGACTTGAAGCTAAAAAAAAAGAAAAGAATATAATATAATTTTACCTATAATTATATTGGGTATGTTTACAAACAGTGATAAGTATAATTACTAATTAAGTTGAAGTGTTGATCAGTATAATATATTGTTTGATAGTATATAAGGTGTAATAGGTGTATAGGTGTAATACTATTTAACAAATGTAATAATTAGGGCCCGAAATTATATGCACTAAAAACTATCAACGAAAAACGCAAAAATATGCAAACAAAAATGCATTTTAATTAAATTTATTTAGTTTAAAAATGTATACAATTCATTAAATAATTATATTAAATTCCGTAAATATCTTACGAACCATAGGTATACATGGACGGTAAAACCAACGAACAATAGTAAGACAATTGGGTATGAAACACTTAGGTATTCGACAAAAACGCGATGAAAAATCGTTAAATAGAGAAATATGCAGTACACATCAAAAAATTGCAAAATATGCAAAATAAAACTGCGTATTTCGGATTTATTGACTATAATTCTAACTTGTAGCTTATCTAGCTACTTTTTGGACGGCTAAAAGAAACATGCAAATGCGTATAAACCCGGGCCTTAATTAATTACTTTTTTTCTATTGAATATTTATTTGTGACTCTGCGCTATAATTTTTTAATTTTATTTATACTTTTTTAGTAGTGAAACAAAAATAAAAAAATTTAGATTTTTATAATCCATGTAAGATTATAAATAAACTTTTAAAACAAATTTTCGGTGTTTAAAACGTAATTAGTTAACGTGATAAATTTTTAAAAAATTTTTAATTAGTTATAATTATAAGAATATTACCAAATTGTACAATATCTCATGGAAAAGTCAAATTATAACTATTTGAAAATCTAAGCATACAAATTTTTATATTTAACAAAACTTTAATAATTGTTTAAAAATAATTGACTTTAGTAAAAGATTTTGATACCAAAATTTTAAAATAGGATGACTCAATTTTTTTTTTTTTAAATTTAAAACATAATTTTACATTTAAGATTCTGAGCGAAGCGAGGAATGTACAGGTTTTACATTGATGTTAATTATTATTATTTTTTTTTTAACTTGTGAACCACTTTTCTATTAGAAATATTGCTCCAATTTTCAAGTGTCGTACCTTTTCAAAAATTACATTTTATTTGGGTGGTAAACTCTTGATTTTTCATGCTGTTTTCATAACAATTGGGTAAAACTTAAGAAAAATAGAAAATTTAAGAAATGTATTATTTTTTGTTTTGATTCAGTTAAAAATATTCTTAGAGACTTGAAATTTGGACAGAAAACTTATTTTTGCCTATTCTAGTTGTGACAACATTTTATTTTAGCTATTTTTTAGCGTTTTATAGACATTTTAATTTTGCGAATTTTTTACGCAATTTGTATTTGGTAGTGAAATTTTGATGAAAATAGTAAATTTATGGCCTTATAAAATATGTATAACAGAACTCCTCTTAGAATCGTTTATCGTTAGCCATGATTAGTCGTTGTGTACAGATATATAGGAGATATTAATATAGAGAAATTTCCATCTATATTCTACCTTCCCAAATTCTCACCTACAACAGTGGCTCACCCGACATGCGAAGTATGGTATTCTTTTTATTTTGAATTCCTAAAGTGACCCTTCTCTTACAGTCTTAGGTACTACTCGAGTGCATCGAGGAAAACCAATTTTTTTTAGATATTTAATGTAATAGAATTTGTATTCCTTAAATTTATTTTTCGATAAAATTATTTAAGTTTTTAACATTTATTTTTATCTAAAAATTTTAAATCATTTATCGATGAATAAAAATATATTATACATACGTTATCTACAATTAATTATGTATTCAAATTTTGATTGTATTATGTGAAGCGAAGAAGCTTATGGTATTACAAAGATGTTTATTATTATTTTTTTATCTGTGAGTAACTTTTCTACTAGAAGAATTGTTCAAATTTTTAAATGTAGCACCTTTTCTGAAAAGAAATCGGTATGAGGATGTACTTTAAGGAGGTCATTTTTCAATTTTCTTAGGAGTTTTCTTAACAAATATGAAAAACCGAAAAAACTTGGGAAAACCGGGAAAAACGTAAGAAAATTAGTAAAATATTTAACAAATATTATTAAAGAAAATATATAGAGCCTATTTAATTATTTTACTATAATATGACATACATATTGTTGACAAAGCATCACTATCATCTAAACTCTGTTCAGAATCGTTTTTTCGTAAGCGATGGTCCATCGTTGCTTACAGGTATACATTAAAATAATATCTATAACAGTGGCTACTTTCGTCTCTATTATCTTAGTACGTCTTTTTATAAGTATGTTCTAAGTTAACAAATTGATTAAATGATAATACAAATTTGGATTTTACCACCAGATTACTAAAATCAATTATCTTTGGTGGACTGGGTCAGAGTTCATTCATCGACGAGATAATATTATTAATTGTACTTAATTATTATGATACTTATTAATTTTTTTACATACATACAGAATTACGAGTTTACTATTTATAATAAGAAAAATCAATTTTAAATTCTAAGTAATATAAATATGTTTTTATCCAAAATAAGATATGATGTGGTTATAGCAATATTCAACAGGTGCCTATAGTATTGTATACGTGTATTGGATTTTCGTAGTTAGAAGTAGATGCCTTTATAATATACGTATTGCATTACAGGTTGTTTTTTATTGTTTGTATTTTAATTCAACAACAGGTTGTATATTTTAGATTCTAAGTAGAGCGAAAAAGCTTATGGTTTTATAATAATGTTTTTTTTTTTTTTAATTTTAATTTTTTAAGTGTAAACAATTTTTCTAACAGTTATTGCTCCGATTTATGGAAAAATGGAAAAAACACGGGAAAATTGGGAGAACGGGAAAAAAGGCTATCCCACAAAGATGAAGAGGAATAAAAATATTTATATTTGAATTAATTTTTTTTTTTTTAGTAGAAAAATTACAAAAAAAACTTTTTATTTTATTATTTTCGGAAAAAATTAAGATAGCCATTCTGTAAAGTTTATTATTATGAAAATGTGTATGTATCACACATTTATATCCGATGAATAGTTTCTAAGTAACAGCCGTTGTAAATTCTACTAATCTGTATGAAAACCTATGTTATTTAAGGAAAAACCTAACCGCGTTACACGATAACATCGGTTTTCGTGGAATTTTCTGTATATTGTTGAAAACACTATCAACTGAACTCCGCTCAGAATCGTTTTTTCGTTAGCTATAGTCAATCGTTCCTAACAGAGATACATTAAATTTCCGTCTATTTCTGCACATACACAAATTTTTACCTGTACACGATTCGTTTACGCACATTAAAAATACGTTTTACCTGCACTGGAAGTACCACACCGGAATATACACAGTACTCAAAGTACAACACACATAAATCTTTTACCTATCGTAAAAATGTAATATTAAATATTATTAAGAAGATAAGATACAAAAATCGATAAATCAAATGTAATCTTGTAGGTAGGTCAAAACTAGAAAGTTTAAATTTTTTTTTCAATCAGTTGTTCACCAGTAACTAAATATGAACAGAGTGTAATTAGTAAATACAAAAATATAAATGCCTATGGATATTCACGTTTATAATATTTTGAATACTCGAACATGCACACACACATTTTTAATCACGCCTGTGGAAAACAGATAGTCCTAAGCCTATATTAAAGTGAGAAGGGAAATGTGCTGTTGTGCTAAAAAACGAATCGTAAAAAGGTAAATGTGCGTAAACGAGTCGCACTCAAAAAATAGATAAAAGATATAAATTACGTAATAGTTATATTATTTTATTATTATTATAAATACAAATTTGGAGTTAATTATCTATGATACAAAAGGAACACGTCTTTTTTATTTGCCATTTCATTAATAATTTCTTCAGGTGTTATAAAGTATTTTTTATTTATTGATAATATCGCTAAACCGTTCAACCTTCCCTAAACCAAACTGTATTCAAAAAAAGGGGAGGTTTCCATTTGAAAACCAGAAGTATATTTTTGTTTAAGGTATATAAAGTGAGGAAAAAAGTTAAAAGTGGTTTTAAAATAAAGCTTAAACGATTTTACAAAGATTAAAAAAATAGAAATCAAAGTCACTTCAAATTTTCCGAGATAATTGGTCCACAATAAAAAAAATCATTAAGTATAAATGAATGTTCTCTTTCTCTATACCTAAGTAGCAAATCATTTATAACTTTTAAAACATACTTTTCTTTTGGGGGGGGGGGGGTCAAGACTAGGGAACACCCCCTCCTCCCGAAAATACACCACTGTGTTTGTATATTGTTTTTTTTTTATAGATGGACGATACTTGTATTCAATAGGTACGTCAATATTCAAGATAATTATCAAATTTCGAAATCGCAATATTATGTGGTTTATTAAGTTCTATTTTATTCTGTGTGGGGCTTGGGACATAATAGGTATTTATATAGATATCATTTTTTTTCTTTTGTCCAAAATGAAATTTAATGAGGTACTATATAAATTATTTGTTTCATGCTATAATAATGGTTTGAAAGTGAAAATTTAAAATGTTTACTTAAATGGTTTTAATAAGAAATTATTTTTATTATAGTTATTGTTTATTTTGCATATTTTATATTTTGCAGAAAAAAAAGAATAAAAGATTTCACTTGGTGTGACAATAACAGAATTTAAATTTCAAAAAATATTTCGCACACTGTGTTCTTTCACCTGATTAGTAATAATATTGTTTTCGTCGAATATTTCCCGAAAATAGAGACTATTGCACTGTGTTGACAGTCTGTAATATATTTTTCCCGCTACTTTTGGGTGCCTCCTTCGACTTATAGACGAATTAAAGCGATAACATTTGATTGATTTTTAATATGAATTTCATTAGATTGTTGTGGAAGTAGGGAGTTTTTTTTAGCTTTGTACACTTTACGGGCTCTCTAAATGAAACCAGAGAGATAGCATTTTGTGTATACATGATGTTAGTAACAAGCATGTACCTTTTATGAGTTTTAGTTTTCAATTCTCTTCCAAAAACAATTTGATGGTCTAATTTCATATTTTCACCGGAATGATCGGGTTCTAAATTCCACGAGGATGGAAAATGTTTTGCATGTTTTTGTTTTTTTTTTTCACCAGAGAATCAGGAAAAACCCGAAAGAAAAATATAAGTAAACTCCAATCCAAAATTGATAAGATGTTAATTTTGTAGAGAACATCGTTTTTTAATATTTAAATAATTACACATTTACAACGTTTAATGTTTACATAATAATTGGGAAAAACCAAAAAAGATGAAATACACGATTTTTTCAAATAACGGCACAATGATTTCATTATTTAAAATTTTTCCGGCTTATGTTTTCTATAATAAATATTGTTCCGATAGATAAACGAAGAGAGACCATTTTCATTGCGTTTTATATCTAGTTCGTGATTTTTTTCGAAATTGTTCATTTTTTGGTTTTCTCAATTATGGCTTTATTAATAATTAGGAAAAACCGGAAAAAAATAACGTAAAATGAAAACTGACAAAATTACGGCGTTATGGTTTTATAATTTTAAATTTTTACGATTTATGACTCTACCATAAATATTGCTTCATTAAAAAAATATCAAAATCTTGATTGAAAATGCTTGAAAATTTGATAGGATGTTCATTGTAAGTCGTTCTTTGTGGCCAAAACAAGAAAGTTAGTTTAATGTAGTATATTTTTTTTTTTAATAAGAGTTTTAAACAAACATTTTGACGAAAGTCTTAAATATTACGGCTTTTCAAAACATGTAGGACTTGTAGGTGTAACCGAACTTAGCTCTAAATCGTTTTTCATTATCAATGATTTATCGTTGGTTACAGAGCTTGAAAACGTTTGTTTTTAAATCATTTTACAGTGTTTCGTTTGTAATGTTATATTTTGTTTATGATAAAATGTTTTTTTTTTTTTAAGATATAACTTTTTTCGTTACAAATGGTTTTTTTTGTAACGGTTACGTTTCCCTTATTATTTTTCTGACAACAAGGTAAATTTCATTATTATTATCACTAGGTATTGTAGATATTATCATTCGTGATTATTATTTAGATCGGTTGTTTTTACGTCTTTATTGTTAAGAATAACTGTTTAGAAATTCCGAATTAGTTTTGTATTGACATTTTTTTCTAGGATCTAATGTTTACCTTACGGCTACCACTACAAAACGTTATTCGAATTCGTTTATTTAAGGGTTTTCGTTATAAGTCGTTTTCAAAATTCGTTAATTACAACGTTTTCCGAATTTAATTGTCATAACGTTATAATAACGTTTTCAAACCATAGTTACAGGTATAAATTAAATAACTTTATGTATTCCTTATTCCCAATTTCTCACCTAAAACAGTGGGTCACCCATCGGGCGAAGTATATCCATACTTTTTTATTATATGTATATATGTAATATGATTTATTTTAATTTTCGTTTTTGTTAACGTTTTTATTATTTTTGGTTTTATTTTTAAATTTTGTTTTCGTTATTGACATTTTTCCGTTTAATGACATTTTTGAAAAACGTTTTCCAACCCCGGTTTTACAGAATCAAATGTACAATGAAATTATTATACCTATTTTGTATACCAAAAAAATGAAATATTGTAACGTACTAGTTTATTGGGGAAAATACGACTCTCTAGTGTCTCCCAAGCTCTTCTTACGGGTGTTCTGTTATTTATTTGAGGTTTTTTTTTTTTTTTTGTGGTAGAATATGGGGTAATAATACTTATTCATAAATATAAAATCATTTTTATGCTCATTTTAACGTTTTTAAGTACTTATTTAAGTCATTTCAATTCGATTTTAGAAGCTTAATTAATTCCCGTCAAAAACCTGAATATATGAGTTTATGGGTTTCATGAATAAATAAACAGACATGTCGCGAAATTTTTCTGTACTCATGAATCATACCCCATGCTTGGAATAAACGATAAAACAATAGGAAAAGAGATAAATTGAGTAAAATCGGTTCGTTTTGATTACGGTTATTAGAAAATTAAATAATTAGACATTTATTTGATTCTCACCTATGAGACACATATGTGCTATAATAAGGAAAATAAGTATTTTTATTGATATGCCTGTTTATTTAGTCGTGATTTATGTCACTGATTAAGATATAAAAGACTGGGAACGAGCACCAAAGTTGTAGTATTGATATTGCGGGCCTATTTCTTTATGAGATCCTAGCGGATACTTTTGGAACTAGTAACGCACTAATTAAATTCTGATTACAAAAGTATCTGTGCTACCCGCGTTACCAGTATCTTTTTCCGGTCAATCTCCCGCACTTCCTTCTGTTCGTTGCCAGCAGTGACAAAATAAGGGGATGGTGGCGTTATAAGAACCCTCTCACCAAAGGTGAGATTTTTTTTATAATTTCTACGTAGTTGCCTAGTTAATTTTTATTATAATTTCATGCCTTTAGACATAAAATTTTAAATGCGTATATTTATGTTATAATTTCACCTCCCTACTCGTATTTAGAAATTTACTATCATACAAATTCGCCTAGGATTTGTTTGAAATTTATACCCCCACTTCCCCTCAAAATAGTATTTTTTGGTTGCTAGTCTTTTATATCTTAATCCGTGGTTTATACTTTTTTCGCAATAGGTAAATAATTGTATCATTAAATCAATTGAATTTTTACCCATAATCGTGATAAAATATCTACTAAATTGACAATATTTAAGATACCTTACTAAGGGAAAATCATATCAGATACCCAGTATTGAAATAAATCGAGTGTTAAGAAGGTATCACCCATTTCCAATATGTATATATATATATACATGTTTATATATGTTACGATCCATGTGGGAAAATGGTTCAATGTAAACACTAAATGGGCATTGTACACAATGCACGGAATATTTGGGCAATGTAAATTATACATATTTATTTCTCATATAGACTATTAATTGTACCACAATGTCTGAAAATTGTATACAATGTTAAAACTGTATTCGTTCTGTGTACTTTAGCGTGGGCATATTGTTGTAAAATAGAAATTAAATCCAGTGATCGTTTAAATAATGTTTTAAAAGTTAAGAAACATAATTGTAGTCAATATTTCAATTTTTTTTAAATATTAATTTAATAACAATACAAGTAAAAATAAATAAATATTTAATTATGAACTTTATATTTTGTATTATTATTATTATTATTATATCTCGACAATAAGTCGAGCGTATTAAATTTTGTTTGCACTTGTCACTGATAGTATTGACCATTGTATACAGTGTCTAGTCAATATATAATTATCCATCATGGTTTGAAAAACTAGCGTTTTATACAACTCTCAGTTAGTGTTTATAATGTTAATTTTCTCACTTGGACCGTAACATACACATATATGCTACGGTCAATTCAACCATAGATATCTATAACCATAGTAAATCAGTGGCGTATTTATGAAGGGGGGGGGGTGCTAAGGGTTTTCACCCTCAGGGATTATTTTTTTTGTTTTAAATTACATCCATTAGTTTTATACGTCGAGTGATCGATGATTTTGCAAATAAAAACAGAATACTTGATTTAATTTTATAATTTGACTAAATTTATACATATAATTACATAAATACATAAGTTAATAAACTTTTCATTCCCTCCCCCCTCAAAAAAAAAAAAAAATTAAGTTGTAAATATGCCATTGAAAATACTTATTGATTATAAATAGAAGTATGATTTTTATCATACTTACCGATACCGTGAACTTACCTGTCATTTTGGTTTTATTTATTATATTGTTAGGTTAGGTTACCGTAAATAAGATTTTCCAAAAATGGTAAAATATGCGTAATAATTAAAAATATTACAAAATCAAATTTGTATCTTGCAGTTATCAGGTATTTTATGCAATAATACATTATCATCGTAATATTATTTATTTACTAAAATGATGATGATTAAAATCGTTAATAATGATATTTAATATTAAATAATTAAATATTATTAAACATTTATTTTATTTTTTCAAATATTTAATAATAGTATCATATATTTATTTAAATTATTATTTAATATTCTATAGTTTATTTACTTTGTCCTATATTGGATACGGACATTGTACACAATGCTTAGACAATAAAAAATTGTTCTACTTTGTCCGTGACATATATACATACTAAACTTTTGTATTTTTCTGTCAATGTACCAAAACTTACATCAATTTTTATAAAATTGTATTAAATATATTTTTAGTACCTTTTGAAAAATGACCAGGATCGCAAATAGGAAAAAATGAGTATAGGAATCGGAGAATATTTTGTTGTAAACAACGTAACTAAACAATCATGTATACCAAAGGCTTATGTGTAGGAACACGATATAAAAAATCCTACCTCCATCATATTCGTGATTTGAATCAATAATTCCTAACAATTTTTTTCATTAAATATATCGTACAATTTTGTATATACTATTTTAAGTTAAATTACATTTCTAATAAGTTAAACTTAAATAACATAACATATATTATGTTAAACGTTCGTTAATCACGAACGTTTAAAACAGTGCTTGTATTGTGGAGGGGGAGTACGTGGGGAATAAAGTACCTATACCTTTTTTCTTTTTTATAAATAAAAAAACAGAAACTTTCCCCTTATAATTTATCATAATGAACACATTTAGGAACATGAATGAAAACATTCAAATGTTTAGGTAAGCACAGTTTTGTTTATACTTTTGCGTTTCCAATTCAAGCACTGTCTTTAACAATAACAAAAATCAGATATTTGGTTGTTCGTCGTCGTGTCGTCGTCTTGTTTCCAGTAGTTGCTACATATCTGTTGATACAATTGATTCTTACCAACAAAACCACATGATGACATGATCGTGACCAGTAAAAAATATCGAGAATTAAATGAAAAAAATACGCACGGCGCGGGATTTGGACCCGCGACACTGAACGCTGGGATGCCGATATGTCATCATAGAGCCACTGCGGTCTTATCAGTTTATTCTTGATGTTTTGCTGAAAAGACGATTCGGCGCTTGAGGCCTCGTCAAGATATGTGCTTTCTTCTCTATACATCTTCGTTGATCCTATTGACTTAGAAAACGTATTGACACGTTCGTTACCAGATTGAACCTAATCGGTTTATGATTACATTAGGATGATGCTTAATTGGGTAAAAACATTGATATCTTGAATTTTTTCTCGGTACCATGTAATTATTATTGTTAAACTTAAGTTTTACCAGCTGAAGAAATATTAAGACATATTTTAATACTTTTTTTTTGTTGAATTTTAAAGGTCAGATACGATTAAAACTGGGCAAGTTAACCAATTTTTTTACTATCTAGTCTGAGTTAACTTATTCTAAAAAAAACTTATCAACCTTCTATGCTTTAAGATCTCGTTACCAATTGTGACAACAGTATCCCTTAGAGGTTGAGAACTATCGATAGTTATGACTATCGATAATGCCCGATAGTTTTTAGCTTGCTAATAATAACTATCGAAAGTTTTATTTTTTTTGGTTATTTATCTATTACACTTTGCAAATATTAAAGTTATACAAACGAATAGTTATTTCATGGTTTTCTTGATTTTAAATATCCTGATAGAATGTAAATAGTTTAATGTACCTAATTAGAATTGAATCTTGAGTGTAGTTGATAGCTAGGGCATGATATTCAGCGATAAATCGTGATTATAAAGTTTAATAATGATTTTTAAAACTATTGCAAACTATTGTGGCTTTTCAACTATCGATAGTCTACGATAGTCAAAACTAGCGATGTTATCTGATAGTAAAAATTATCGATGTTATCCGATAGTAATAACTATCGATGTTATCTGATAGTGATAACTATCGATGTTATCTGATAGTGATAACTATCGATGTTATCCGATAGTGATAACTATCGATGTTATCCGATAGTAATAACTATCGATAGTGTCCGATAGTAAAAATTATCGATGATATTCGATAATCAGAACTATCGATGGTATCCAATAGTCGAAATTTTAGATAGTGATTGATAATGCTATCGATAGTTTTCCACCACTAACGTTATGTTATGTTCCAACATTTTGGTTCATTTACAAATACAAGACTCGTTTGGGTATCCCTAGCTACATGTTCATCTTATAATGTGATTTTGATATTAACGTAAAAATACAAGATTAAAAAAAAAAAAAATCCTAATATAATTTACATAATAAGAAAATAATTAAGTTGAATCCAGTATATTAAGATATAAAAAGAAATAACTATGTTATTTTCTAACGACTCTGCTATTTATTAACTTAGTTAAGTTAAAAGTTATTAAATAAAGTTACTTATAACTAGGGCTATAACTTTAATTCAGTAAAAACCTTAAAAATATACAAAAATGCATATAATGTATAAAATATACATAATTCAAATTATGCGCTTAGAAAGCTATGTTTCACAATCAGCTAAAAAAAATATACTTTCCTACAAATTCACAGCCTTACTTAACAGCTATAACTTAAGTTTTACTTTGTAATTATAGTTACTACCCGGATTTGCCTACCAGGAATTTAAAATATAGTCTTATTAGCTGGTAAAAGTTAGTAATAAATTATAAATTATCTGAACATTTACTAAGGGACATAAAAAAAAAAATTTACAACTGATTGACACGTATAACATATTTAAAATTTAATTTTAAGCATAATCCTAAGTTACAATTTGTTTATTAAATTGCATTGACTTACAATAAAATTATAGATGTACTTGTATATTTAATATATGCCGATGGTTCGTTTTCACGTTCGCCATCTTCATACTATAAAACTATAAAACAATAAAAAACAGTTAAAATAATATATTTAAAAAAAATTAATATATATTGTTTTTGGTGGGAATCTTCGTAATTTAAACACAGTAATTTCGTCATATTTCAATTGAATTCAAGTGCACTACTATTATTATTTTTTTTTTTTTATGTATATAATTATTGTCTTTTATACCTTTTTATTATTTTTAGATTTTAAGTGTAGCCAGTGAAGCTAATTTTTTAATTTTTTGTGTCTGTAAACAACTTTTTACCATAAATCGTTCCCCAATCGATAAATAACAGAGACTTTTTTTGTTGCATTTTGAATCTAGTTGGTGAATTAAAGAGGTTACGGGTCCATGGAATTTTGATCCAAAAAAAACTGGTAATTACTGTGGCAACAAGGGAAATATATGATCCATGCTTAGAATCGTTTTTCGTTAGAAATGGTTTATCGTTGCGCACAGATATAAATTAAACTACTTCATATATCCTCCATACGACTATTCCAACTTTTCTCAGTAATGCATCTGTGAATAGTATCAGTTCTTTTTTAAATATTTTAATGTCACCATTATTTTTGGAGGTGAAACGACTATCCAGTGTGTCCCACTATGTTCGACGGATTTTTCTAGTTAATGTTAAAATTTTTTTTATTTTTTATTTTTCAATCAGTTTGTCTCTGAGGGATCATCGATTTGGAGAAAAAAATTTGTATTTTTATCCCTTATAAACAACAAAAAAAAAAATAATAACTTTATTTATTCACTTTAGACAAATTTTAAAATAGCTGTTTTGTAAAAAATATTATTCAAAAAATTTTAATGTTTCATACATTCATTTTCGATGAATAAATTCTTAGTTATAGCCGTTATAATTATGCGTGAAAACAATTGATATTCAATAAAATAACACTTTATGTGACAAGAAATTACAATCAGCACTGTAATTCTTTGCCTTTTATTGAACATTAATTATTTTCACGCCTATTTTATAGAAATTAAAACGGCTATAATTGAGAAACTATTAATCAAATATGAATGTATGATACATTCAAACATTTATAATAATATTTTTTACAAAATGGCTATTTTCAAAATTTTCTCAAGTGACTAGATGAAAAGTATTTTTTTTTTGTGTGTTGGTGGGTGAAAATAAACATTTTAATTTTCTTCGAATCTATGTTCCTCTCGAAGACAAACCGATTGAGAAAAAATTTAAAAACAGCGCTAGAAAAATCCGTCTAACATGACGGGATACAACGTATTATACTTTTGTTTTTCAAATCGGCAACCAATATTGAAAATTTCATAAACAGTATTGGTTTAAATAAATTATAGTGTTGAAATTTTCGATTTCCGTTAATCCGTTAACGTGTACTCGACTTTTAAATTTCGGCGGGAGATTAGTGGCGGGACACTATGAAAACGTTGCGCGTGGCGCCGCCACACAAATGGATGCATCACTACTCTTTTCCCGCCAAAACTTAAGAGTTGAATATCCCGCCAACAAGTTGTCGGAAATTAAAAATGCAAACACCTAAATTTATTTTAACTCATACTCTATCTATGCTTGACATTTTCAACGTAGTTTTTCGATTTTTAATCAAACGTAGGTACTTAATGGTTTCACTTCCGAAAATAAAGATGACAAAACAAATATTAGTTGGACATTTTACAGTGATATATTTCTTAAAATTTTTAAATTTCGAAAAAAAAAAAAAAAAAATGAATATTTTTCGAAATACTCAATGCCGTACGATAAATGAATCACTTAGTATGTAGGATATGGCGTAATTCAATATTTAATTATTCTGTAAGCAACGATTATTCGTAGCACACGTGCTATAAAATACGTCGTGCTTTTTTCTGTTGCCAAAATAACACTGTCAGTTTTCGAAAAATCCGTAATATCTCGTGATTAAAAAAAATCTATCTTAAACTTATAGCTAGGTATAATCAATAAGAAATTTCGATAAAGCAGCGTTCGTAACCTGATCAAATTTTAACTATTATTCAATAGTAGTTGATCTAAACATTCTATAGCAAATATCATTTCTATCCAAACAAGAGAAATATTTTTTTTTCAAACTAAAATCAAACGGATAATAAATACATGAATAAATATATTATGTTTGTTCAAAAATAAATATTTTGATTAACTTCAAATAATACTAGTGTCCCCTCTCGGCCCATTTATTTAAATTCGAGCGATTTGAAATCGAAATTAATAGTCAAATCCGTTTAAAAAATTAATAACATAGGTAGTTATAGTTATAGTTATTATCTATTGTCATTTAAAATACGAATTTAGTCGATTTTACACGTTTAGACTAAAAAATTATATTATTTTTCAAATATTCTCATATTGCTGGATATAAATGATTTTTGTTACGATTTCGGATGGAAAGTTAAGAAGTAATCTGTTAACGAAAAGTATATAATATCGAATTCGTACGAAATTACCTGAAAGTATGTAAAATAATTAACAACATGAACGTACCGTTTGGTAGACGAAGAGCGAACGCGGAGTTTGCCAGTGGCACCGCGGTGCACCGCGATCGGCGTAGAACGATCCCGGAGTAGGCTGCACAGCGCGTTTCTGACGTAGGCAGTTAGACGAAAAGTCTGATGTTAATATGGCCGTCGTCGAACTCGCGAAAAACTATCACGAAACCCACGGAATTATTTCTAACTCCGAAATATTTCGGAACAGTTGCGAATGTAATGACGCACGCGTTACAACTGAACGGCGACAACGTTAGCCACTACCGTGAGTGTTGCCAGCAACGGGTTGAATACACACGTTGTGACGACCGAACGCGGAGCGCTGCGGCCGTTTCGCAGCTCCGGCCGCCCGATCGCGCAGCCGCGCCGCCGTGCGCCCGGGCGCACAGACGTCAATCCCTTACGATCCGGTGGGGGAGGGCGGGCTCACGGTCCGCGCGCACCCGCCGCCCGCCGCGCGGAATCGAATTATTCTGCGAACTATCGTTCGGTCCGCGCGCGCGACCGGCGGCGGTGCGGGGGGGGGCACGCCTATACAGCGTGCACAGCCTATACATGATTCGGTGGGCGTGTCTCGCGCGAGGGGTGACGGCGCGAGTGGCGCGGACTACGGGGACGGCGGCGGCGGCGCGGGTCGGTACGCAACCCGTGATATATATTTATATCAAGTAAATATGTGCGTTGCGGAATAACCGTAGAGAGAGAATGAGAGAGTGTGTGAGAGCGACGGAGTAGGAGGGCGAGTGACGGAGTGGGAGCGAGTGAGACGGGACGACGGGGTGACAGTGTGAGAGAGCGCGCGCGGAGAACCGAGAGGAAAAATAACGTTTATTAATTTCCGCGGTTTTAACGCGAGACCGGCCGGTCGGTATAATTATTTTTATACTATTGTACGCGCGAACGCAAGAATAATATCGCCGTTGCGAAAAATTGGCGAAACGATGCGGCCCCGGCTTACGCACCCCGGCCCGCGGGAAATTCATCGGGGCGGTTGGGGGGGGGGCATCTCCACGATGAAATAACGAAATCAAACGCCGAAAAATAAAAATTTTTATATTCGAATCGGTTGCCGACCGTCGTGTTCGGAACCGTTTCGAAGTCCGGGGGTGGGGGGGGGGCGCTGGCCCCGGCTACAATATTCGGGTCCGCGGTCACGTCGAACACCGCGTTTTTCGTCGGACGCGGCATCGCGCTTTTTGTAACCGCCTGTCACGCAGTTTCCGCGTGCAGCACACTCGCTGTGTTATCGCACGCGGTTTTCGAGGAAAACTCACGGCCCCCACCGCAGTACGGCGGGCGCGTTCGTCCGGGCCGGTTACGCGGCGCGGTCATCGTCGTCGTCACGTGCGCGCGCGCGACGCGGCGTCGCGGTTATTGTTCGCCGGTCCGTATTACGGGGCGTAACGGACCGGGCCGGTTCGTCCGAAAGTCCGTCTGCGCCGGTGACCGCGGATACCGCGTACACAGCGACGTTTTATACTCGACGGGTATTAAATCGAACCATGCCGTGTTACGGGCGTTATACGTTCCAATCAATGCAATTTTATTTCGAGTAATTTTAGGCGTTCGATTTTGTCGCGCCCCCCCCCTGATAAATTTACCTATAATTACCGTACTAACCCGCGGCGCATTCGAATCGCGTACAAAAATGATTTCCCTCTCCCCCCACCGACCGTTAATATAACTAATGTATTCATACAGGTATACTATTTTTCGTTTCGTCCTATTCAAAATGCCTTTGTACATTTACATAGAACTTTTGAACGCGACCGTCTCTGAACACTGTACCGCCCAACGATTTTCGGATCGTAAATTCGTGTCCGTATTCATACGCGATACCTATGGTATTGTTCGATTTGTTCACTGAACATTTTGATTATTTCACGGTTTTCCATTCGATATATTTGTTGCGAATCGCGCCATTGAACGTTGCAGCGTAGCCGGTGTTTACTGACAGTGGCGGATACAGAGTTGAATTTTTTTTTTTGAGGGGGGGGGGTTTTTAAAAAAAAAAAAAAAAAAATGACTACTCAGCAAGAGAAAAACAATTGGGTGATATCGGGGACGGGTGTAGCCGCTGTTGTTGGCGGGAAGTTGAGAAGGTATAGGCCACGCACATATATGGTTATTTAATTATATGCATCTGTATGGGCACCGATGAAGCGTTGCTGACTTGTTTTTTGATCGGAATAACATTTCTGGTAGAAAATTTGTTCACAGACGGTGAAAATATATTGCAGCACAATCAATCAACGGCGCTAGAATTCATTTATTTTACATTTTTACTGCTTATGTTTTCTACCGAAAACATTGCTCCCCGTCGAAAAACCGTAAGAAGCCTTTCTTGGTACAATCTGGATCTTGTTGCAAGTAAGTAAAAAGTCGCGTTATGATTTTTTTTAAATATTTTCAAGAACAATATTTGAAAAAAATCGGGGAAAACGTAAGAAACACGGCGGGATAATGTTTACGGCATAATTGGTTTCGTTAGTTTCGATTTTGGATTTTTCTCGTGTATCGGTTAAAAATATTCGCAGAAAAATCTATTAGGCGCGGTAAAGTTTTCAATTCGTTTTTAAGCGGTTTTTGAGCTATTCATAGGCGTTTTTTTTTATGCAGTTTTTATTTGATAAGAATTAATATGCGTTTAAAACCGTTTGATATATCGGAAATGCTTGAAAATTTAACAGAAAGCTCGTTTTAAGTCGTATTTAGTAGTGTCGAAAAAAATGTAGAGTATTATAATCTAGTAGTAGTAATATTTTTAGTATAAGAATTTTGCGATGAAATTTTAAAGAAAATTGTAAAAATTACTGCATTTCAAAATTTGTTTATTCAAAGGTAATTTTTTGATTTCCCAAGTAGTTTTCATAATAATCGATAAAACCGAAAAATTATGAAAAATTTCAAACTAACAAATTTACGGCGCGCGGCGTAAGATTTGATTATTTTCAATTTTTACGGTTTCTGTTTTTTGCCAGAAATATCGCCTTTAAGTAAATCGTTTTTGATTATGTTTTTTTTTTTTTTTTTTTTTAGGTAGTTTTTGTAATAATTAAAAAAACCGTAAAATGACGAAAAATGAAAACTAATAATTTACGGCGGCGTGACGCTAAGATTCCTTTATGTTAAATTTGTACGCTTTATGTTTTCTATCAGAAATATCATTCCAATTATAAAATGACAAGATATCATTGTTGTTGCATTTTTAATTAAGTTGGTGAGAAAGTCGATATTTGTTTTTCCATGTAGTTTCCATTAATCCATTAATCCATTGATCCGTTAATTGATCGAAACCGAAAAAAATACCAGAAATAACCGGGAAATGTACGAAAATAATGTTTTTATTATTTTTAATTTTGTTTTTTTTTTTTGTCGTAATTTAGTTAATAATATTCATAGAGACATGGAATTTTGACACAAAACATTTTATTTGCTTTTTCTAGATGTGGAAAAAATTTGGGTCAGATGTAAATTAAATAACTCTATGTGTCTTACCTTTCAAACTTCTCACTTCAACGATGGTACACCCGTTCCCAGTATCAGCTCTTTTTTACATTTCTAACCGTATTATTAGACGCCTTTATCACCGTCGTGTCCGTTTGTCTGCAGTCAAGTATTACACAGTGACGATTATTAATTTTTGTCGACGATTAAGTTTTATTCAAAAATTATTTAACATATTGTTCCATTAATTTTAATAATTTAATATAGGTCCTTTTTGTCTTCCAGTGTAAATTAAACTTATTAAAATTTATATGTTTAATATTGTCTATTCATTTTATAATTAATATTTTAAATTACTTTGACACTCATTATCATCCATTATCACATACACATCTTTAATAATAAATTTTAAATCACATTTTTTTTTCACTTATTTAAGTATATTTTTTTGGTTATTTTTTTAAGTTAAATTTTTGGAACATTTAGGACATATTTATGTGTTTTTTTTAGATCATCAACTGTCTCTAGTTTTTACCTATATAGGTACCGCGTTTGATTATTTTATTGTAGATATTGATAACAAACAGCAATGCGTATCAGCGATAGGTTTTCGTGGTTTTCTAATTAAATTCACGGGAGCACATTGAATTTATTGCATTTATTTGTTTGTTTTTATTTCTCTGTAGATATACGAAAAAAAAAAAAAAGGTTTGATGCGTAGTTGATTATAACATATTAGGTATAGATAATTATTTTTTTGATATCTCGAGCGGCGCCTTTGAGGGTTTTTACTGGTTTTTTTCACGGTTCCGCCGTTAGGTTTTTGTCCGTTATAGCCAGGACGGTATACGCGGAAACATACTTATCGTATTTTTGCCGGGTTCGCGTAGAAATAATTGTAATTGATTGTGAATTTGTGCGATATAAGTATATCTATAATTATTATTTATGCGAGCATAGTAAATATAAATTTACCGCCGTAGTCACCGTTTGTTGTTATTTTATCTTAAAAGTTCTCGAAAAAAAAAAAAAAAAAAAAAAATCGAAAAATGATCACTTTTTTCTTGTATTGACTTACCTCTATATATTACTATTACATTAAGATGCTGTCAAAGTGTTTTCGGTGAGAAAAAACAAACCACTAAACGTATTATTGTAAAACTAATGGCTTTCCGTACTCGTTTCGGAAGCTTAACGAACAAAAAAAAAAAAAAAATTAAAAAATATCGACGGAAAATGTAAAATAAAAATGGCCCCGAAAAAAAAAAAATGAAGTACTTTATCCGGGAAAAATACGCATTAGGCAATTAACGGAGAATCTAATTTCGTTCGTAAATCGAAGGGCACTTAAAACGTAATTCAAAACTCTTAAAATTATAAAAAACAATAGCGCGCGTAGCGTTTTTATCGCGAAATATTTTACTCGTTGAATTTCGATCGTCGCCGGCGCAACACACTTTTCAAACTGCGTACCTACGCTTATGCAATGTAAATTTAAAATTAATTTAAATAAAATGCGATTGAATATTTTTTCCTTAAATCGCACCTGTCTATAATTTTTAGACCGTTTTCATGTTAAGTCCCTGTTGCCGCAGCGTGACGCGCGCGACTTAAACATTATTATTATAATTCGGTTTTGCAGTATGTCGTAAAATTATAATCACGCTTTAGTTTGGCATGCAAATGCGGTTTTTATCCGATGTTATTTTTTTAAAATTAAAAACCGTACGGAAACGTTCAACAATATTTTTTAGTTTACAGTTTTAATAACAATAAGAGTGTCTTCCGAAATTCGACTTTGCCGACTAAATGTCCATCGTTCGATTATACCGATTTTCCCGGGCGATATCAGTCATTATTTGCCGCGATTTAAATTTATACCGCGGATAAGACGGCCCTAATAAATATTATACGCGATAGCATAGGGAAAAGGTCGCAAACAATATCCATATGATCATGTTCCATTTATTCAGCGCAATTTAAATATTTGGGATTCGACAACCTGCAAACAGATCCGATCATTAAGTTGAATTTCAGAGTAATAACAATTCGCTTCATATAGAGAAATGCGTTCAACTCGCAGCGATTGACTTGTCGCAAAAGTAAAAAAAAGAAAAAAAAAAAAAACTTTTTTTAAAATTATACTGCGACATAACGTTTTGTTATTATTATTCGGTGGGGGTTTTCAATCTTATCAATCCTATAGTATCTTATGTAGTATCAATCTTAGGCTAATGTTTTCTCGGCAATGTATACAGTACATTACGGAAACGTCAACAAGGGATCGAGGGAGAAATATCGAAATAAAAAAAAAAAACCGTAAAACTACCTATACCTACGTTCGGGGCAACTAATATTATGACTGATGTTACACGCGCACGCAATCGATCAGCGCAGTATTGAGCCGAATGTTAATCTCTGTAACGCAAGCATCCATATTGTGTATAGTCTATAATATCGGTGTGCCATTTAGGGCATTCATAGACGGTTTCGCGGACGATCGTTGTCACAATCGATCATTTCCCGCCCGGATATAAATGGTATTTACATTATTCAAATTGGACATTGTGTACGCGACAGAGAAGCGGCGCGGCGATTTTCAGATTTCGTTGCGGTATACCTATACGAGGATGTATTGATTTAACCCGATACGAATCGTTCTCGAAATACGACAGACGTGTCTATATACGAATAAATTAAGTGACTAATTCGACATCCAATTAAAGCACATTAACGAAACAGAATATATTCTTGTACGGTATAGAACTGATACTGTCGGCGGGGTTCCGCAGGCGGGAAGTCGGTAGCCAGGCCGTACGATCGATTAAAATACATAAAAAGGAGCCGATACCGCTGATGGGTACACGGAGACATTTATTTTATACCTGTGCGCAACGATGAATCAACGGTAACAAAATACGGTTCTGAGTGTGAAGTTCGCTTAAACGTGTTTTTAAATGTCGCGATTTTTACGATTTTTGTCAAAATTTGTTCTTAAAATGTTTATACGGGCATATACATATACATAAAAAAAAGACTGCGTTCCGATCGATTTTCGTTTTTACTATCAAATATCACTTGTGATGAACTTCGTGTTGAATCGTCAAACAATTTTGCTCAGCGAACCAAATTTTATATATTGTATAAAAACAAAACAAAAAAAAAAAAAAAAATCTAGAACAACTAGAAAATGTCTAACGAATACTCAAAAAAAAAAAAACAAATCACCGGAATATTCTGAAAATATAATACCGTGTTTAAAAATAATCATTATCAGTTATATTATTATTATCAGTAATTGTAGCATTTGTAACAGTACGAAATTTTTGTAAAAACACAAATGTTATTTTTCACTATACGAGCGGAAAATCTATCTATCATGGCGCGAGGCTCAAAAAAACAATAACAATGAAAGCTTAAAAATATTGAAAGGGAAAAAATAAATCGCATTTGTTTGGCGATTTCCGCGGTACGCCCGGTGCCATTCGAGAAAATAAAACGCCTTTCGAGTACAGTGAGCGTTCGAACCGATACCGCGAATATGAATGTTACAAAACACAATACGTTTGTAATAACGTTCGGTCTAAAATAAACGGACTGTTCCACGTGCACCGCAGTGTCGGCGCGTTATACGGAATTCATTCGTTAGGGTGGTTTTTTTATTTTTTTTTTATCACGATACGCGCACCAGTTGCTGTATAATAAGCGTTATACATGTATATATATATATATATAATCATTTCGGACTCGGCGACAGCACGCACTACACACTTATCGACCGTAAACATTATGTACAGACCAAATAGATTGTCTCCGTAATTTGAATTTTATTTTTCGCCTTTCGCTTTCAAACGGCGTTACGTGTAAAGTGGTTTTTTTTTTTTTTTTTTTACTTATATTCGCGATCCCGTACATTAACATTGTAGCTATAAAGAACAGTGATGCGCCCGAGGATAGAATATCCTATTTTTAGTCCGTGATTGACTACTTATTATTAGTGCGACTATCGTCCGGCGAGTGTAGATTTGTACAGTTATACGTGAATAGTGTAGTTTCAGCAGTCTCATTTCACACTAAATTTAACACGAAACTAAACGAAGCGTGAGATTCGCCGTCCTTCAAAACCCCACATTTTGATGTCACTCGATTTTCGCGATTATTATGCGCCGCCGGCCTTTGGAATTCTCGAAATCGTACAACGTCATCAACGGGTAGGAATTTTCCGGGACGAAAAATCTAACTAGAAAACTGTTTTCCCGTCAAACGAGATATCTCGTGAGTTTCTACGAAACATATATCTAGCTGCCGTAAGTACGTGTACATTTTTGAGCCTCGCGTTCGCAAAAACGTGAAATGGGTTTACCATTTCCAAAGTTTGTACGGAAACACCCAAAACACCCTGTAGAACCTCGTTTGAAAACCAATTGTCGTTAAAATATTTCGAAGAAATTTTCCAGGAAAACGCCTTGCACGGGCGGCCATACGATCGCGTGCAGTTGGACAAATTAAAACAAAAAATTTAGTGATGGTTTTCCATGCATTATACAACTGACGGGCGAAAACTTTATTATTAGTGCGTCCCGTCGTGTGAAGTGCCGTCGGAAAGGCCTTTGAAAATTCAACAAAGGGTAGTACATGACGGTTTATAAACAGATGCATATTTCGCGACACATCAGCAGCGTCCGGAGTCGACAATAATATTATGTCGCCTACCCTTCCTAACTTCCCAACCGCGTGTCGCACATAATCGCGTAGCGAAATATTATTATTCGCAATACTCGGTCGCGTTGTGCGAAATGTATTATTTTATTATTAATGAGTAACGGGTTTTTCGATAACGCCGAACAGTTTAACTATAGTTCATGTCTGTATTTTAACCGCACGGTCGACTCGTGAGCCTTTTGTCCTCTCCCGGGTACGCCACTGGTGCAAATGATATCTTACGTCGTATATGCATTAAACCCGTTCGGGTTTCAAAACTAAATACCTGCATACGCATGTTATACAATGCGTCCACGGCTCAAAGCGATTGCAAACATTTGGTCTGGCGCTGCCTAAGTATCAGGTGAGTTTTGTTTCGATTGAAAAGTGTATTGTTTTCGAAATCCATCCGACTGTATCAGCCGTATCGATTGCAATACAATAATTATCATTGTCCTTTGTTTAAATTATTTTAGTTTTTTTTTTTTTTTTCTCGTCTCTAATTTATACCGGTGTTCAAAATACGAATAATAACAATATCGTGTTGCGTACATCGTCTATTACGTCAAATGTAAATTAATTATTTACCGCACGTTCTTAATGAAATCGTGCCTCGTGGATCGCCCATTACGATACTATTAGTTAGGTGCCTGCCGGCAAAAAAATGACATTCAGTGTGTCGTCAAAGTATCCGCGTGACGGTTCACCCAGAGAGAATACAAAAACCATCGTACAAAATGTACGGAATGTTATTGGAGAGCGTGCAATATTTTATACAGGTACGTATACATTATGATTAAACGTAAGTTATTTCTGATAACATTATTAGATCGACTCGCGGTTTAACTTGGTTCGTATAATCACCATTTCCGCGGAGGCCCGATCGGGGGGGGGAAGAGAGGTGGTGGCTGGTGGCGGCCGAGAGAATATTTTTTAACAATTCGGACTTTTAAAACGAGTAATAAACACCCGTGTTAATTCATTTCCACGATAAATGTCCAAATAGTGAATACCGATTTTGAGGAACGTTGTCGCACTGTGCAGGTACTTACTGACGCATTGTTCAGTCGTTGTTGACGAGTTTCCGTTGAGTTCTACAGGCGGTCAGCATCGCTTTTCGATGGTTAATATAAATCCGACCACTAGATTCCCCGTAAGGCTCCGTGTATTTTATTAAACGTAATCGCTTGTGTAGTTTACAACTTTTACATAAACTTAAACAAATTTTATTTAGAAAATAAAAAATTATACACTTTTTCTTTTTTTATTTCTAACTGATTTTTTCAAAAAATCGGCATTGGCTCTTCTTGCACCAAGTCACAGAAATATGTATACACGTTAACATTTTTTTTTTTATCACACTAATCGCATTGACGCTTAAAGATTTCGTATAAGATTTAATTTTGTCCCCTACGGCGTATATCGACACTAAACATATTTTGAACCGGCTAACGAGGTGCTGTTATGCGGACGTCCCGGATTATATTACACCAAAGTTTAAGCTACAATCAGCGGCGGGTTCGAGAGGGGCACGAGACGACGAGGGGAATCAAATTAAAAATGCCATATTATTTTAAGTACAGACACAATATTAGAGCGTCGATATTTTAAAAAATACTTTTGAACAAAATATTTCTGGTGGCATCGAATATTATCGTTTGTACACGGAGGCGTTTTCGAATACCTATAACTATATTATCATTTGTACATCTATATTGCAAACTTGTAGGTACGTTTCGATTTTATAATATAATTTTATTATATTGTGTGTTCCGTATACAATATCCTACCCTTGAGATTGTATCGCGTGACCGAAATGTCAATATTACGATTGTTTTTCGTACGGATATTATTATGGAAATTACCTATTCGACGAGTCGACCATATTCCGTCTGCCGCAGAGCTCGGCGGAGCCCCTAATCCGATAAAATAATATTGCGAAATTCTCGCATAATAATATAATTATTCGAAAATTAAGTCGTGACGTAACGGAATTTTATGGGAGGGGGGCAGGGGGGAAATCCGAAAGTCGATTAACACTTTTTCACAACCGAAAATATATTATAAAAGATTCCCGAACATAAACAAAGCCAATTGAAATAAAATAATATTATCTTTTTAAAGATGGATTTTTCTTCAATTTTTTTTTTTTTACATTTTGCGACCATTAGGGTTCATCGAAATAGACAAATGTCAGCGGCTCATTTGAAGGGAAGCGAACTGCTGCGGGTTTCATAAATATCGACGTTATATACGCGATCATAAATTGAAAACAAATTCGGTGGTCCAAACATTTGTTTACTGTACTTATACGGAAGTGAAGGGGGGGGGATGTGGGAAGCAAATCATATAACAAATCCGCCGCTGACAAAAATAGAATGGCGACGTCCGGGGAAATTCATTTTGTACGTTTATACATCGTGGCACAAAACATTGAAAGGTATAGACATTTTGATACAAACTTTTTTTTTTTTTTTTGTTATAATATATCGCGTTTTTACGGAACGGGACGAAAAATAAAATAAATATTTCAGCGCGTTCAATATGCAGACAAGTACAAATGAGTGCACGTTTCCGCACTCGCCAAAAACGGAATTGGGTATAGACAATGATGATAATAATATATTGTGACGTTGACATATTATTATCGTGTTTAGGCGGTCGTCGTTCCCCCCTTCCTCCCCGGTTAGTTGTACGGAAACGGGACTAGAGAAAGAGGAGGAAAAAGAAGAAATATTATTATTGCATAATATATCTAGTGCGAAAAAGCCGCGTTAATTTGGTTTTAAAATTGAAAATGAAAAATCATGAAGTATTTAAGATATAAATCAAGTTTAATTACATGTCGGTAGTTGTTAGCCAAAACGTCATCCGTGAATAGTTGCTTCACCCCCTCACCACTTTGCCCGATACAATCCGGATTTGTTTCAACATTTTTCAACTTTTCCGATTGGAAAAATGGTAGGTTAGGTTTCGAGAAGATGCATCCTTCGAAATTAAAACGTTCGATTTTGTCCGAAATAATGAGTAACAAATTGTGATATCTTTGTTGCAAAATACTGAAACAGGTCCGGAGTTCATCAGACAAACAGTTAATTTTATAGATATAAGAGCGGATTAACTTATTATCGAACTTAAAGGTAAAAGAAGTGATAAGAGTGCGTCAATTTTGTTGGATGTTTTAAACATTAAGCTACACGAGGATGTGAAATATCACAATTTAAAAACGATTATATATCTCACATAGAAATTAAAACATTGAGAAAAACTGGCGCGCAAACACATACAGGGTTCGCGCTTTTAAGTTTGATCAATTAGGTCAACGATAAATTCCTGACACACTTACCGCAGAATTTTGAAAATCGAACATTGTCGCCTATCTGCCGTTTATTTTATTTAACGAACACAAAAGTAATAAAATAATAAAACGAAAGCGTATTAGTCTATTTCTAGGACGGGTATGTAATAGGTTTTATGTTGTAGCTGTGATGTTTTTTTAAGGGGATAATATTTTTTAATAATTCTTTTGAAAAGCGGAAATGAATTTTGTTCCGTCGAAAAACGAACGATTCAACAAAAATTATACGAATTATACGAATTATAAATAATTTATAACGGTTGTTTTTTTTTTTCGCGCGCACAGTTGGAGTACGGCGAAGAAGCGTGGCGCGAAGTGGTCCGGTTGGCCCGGTGCAAATGGTACGTGTTCAACACGCACCACATATACCCGGACGGACTGATGCCGGAACTCGCGGCCGCGGCAGCCGAACTGCTCGCCGACCCCGTTGATCCGCCGGAGGACAGTGGCGACGGCGCCTGTGGCAAAGGCGGCGGCATTGGCGGCGGCGGCTGCGGCAGCGATCCGCCAACGGCCGACAGTTTCATGCGGTACTTCGGCAAGTGTTTCGTGCGGTTCTTCAGCAACCTGGGCTACGACGCGCCCATCCGGGCCACCGGCCGGTACTTTTGCGAGTTCCTCAAGAACGTGGACAACCTGCACCTGCAAATGCGGTTCGCTTATCCGAAAATGAAGAGCCCGTCCATGTACATGTCGCACGTCGACCGCAACGGTTGCGTGCTCGTCTACCGGAGCACCCGGCGCGGGTTCACGCAGTACTTTATGGGTGAGCTGCTTTATTACATTATCGTTCTTATTACTTGGCGAGTTTCACGCGAGCACCGGACGGCCCCCGGTTTTCGGCGCAGTTTCCGCGCGAGAACGAGACGAATCCGATGGGTTGTATGATACCTAATTGATAAGGTACTTTTAACGATATCCGCCATCTGCCACTGCCATTGACCCGCCGTCTGATATAAGGTCAATCAGATTCCATTCGTGAATGTAGCTCGTTTAGAGTGTGGACCGTTAATACGCGACCCGGGTATGCTCGAGGCAATGATCTGGCGATGTGTACCATTTCGGCCATTTCACCCCTGGTGCCGACAAATAGGACTCGTTGCTTAAATCGATAAAACGTAATATTTCCCCTCTTACCCTCCACCCGTGGACCGCTTAGACGATTTACGAGGGTGTAAAACAGTTCCTTTTTCTTCCATTCGATATCTTTGACATCTTCGTAGATACATATGGAATCAGTGTAGGCGTACGGCCAGGGATTTTGAAACGTGGAATGTAGAATAAAATGTAAACCTAATTACTCACTAACTCCCACCGTATAAGATTATACT